ACTGGTCCACAGGGAAAGAAAATGCGTGACTGACTTCGACGCAGTGGCTGCGCCGAGACGCTCGACGAATGGGACGCGATGACACTGCAACAACATAAATCCGGCGTATCTAGTTTCCTCTTATGTCGCAGGGAGATGTTCCTTTTCACTCTTTCTTGCCTCCTAGCTCTTATCCTCGAAGAAAAGCGTAAAGGCGAAAAAAAGGCAAGCTTTGTTGAGCCTAGCCTCGGCGCAGTTGACAGAGAGAAAAGCGGCGAGGGGCATCGCTGCTCTCGGAGCTGTCGACTCGGAGGGATGTAATAGGAACAGGAGTTTTCTCCCTCGGAGGATGGAACGAATGCCAAGTAGCGATTCCAGCGAAGTCGACATTGAGATGACAATAAACTGACCGGGAAGAGCTGTGGGCGTTTCCGATCGCAATGGGTCGAAGTTGCTTCCGGTCCCTGGGGACAACTTGAAGGTCGATAACGACCGCGAAACCAAGCGTCTAATTTCGAGACGAAGGTGTCGCCAACTTTTCTCTCGTTCTGCTTCGGCACAAAAAAACCTCTCGAGCTCAGTGTAGCTTTGATTCTGTTCCAGATCGGGCTCGAGCGCGAGGAAAAATCAACCGGGACTAATTTTCGTTCCGATTCGGAACTCGTGCGACGCGACAGCTCGGAGGGACGGGCAACGAGACAGGGGAGAGAGGTCTCGATGAGCTTTCGGGAACCGTTCAACAAGCCCCACCGAACGACCACTGAATGTAGATCGCATCGGTCTCAAAATCTGCCACAACAATCCGGCATTTCCGGTGGAGACAAATCGCAGCGGAAAAGCCGAAGCGGCAACATGTTTCAGTGGTTTCGTTTCCCAACTGAAGCGAACGAGTTCACGGCTCGACAGGGCCACTTGTGGAGTGCGAACAGACGGGACTCGGAGATGGAACACTGTCGCCGAAAGCCGAGAAGAAAATGGAAGCTATACGCTGAGACTCCCCACGCTTGGGATTTTGAAATCAGATTTAATGGACCAGCGAAACTCGTCCGACTGGGTAGGCGAGGAAGCGGAAGGACAAGAGGAAGCTTTCGGCAGAGCCCTTTATCACAGCATTCGCAGCCGCAGCGCAGTCTATTTGCAATGAGATGTGTGAGGGCTCGGTCGGCCTAAATATGTCTCTTGGGCACGTTAGAAACAAAGCACAGAAAAACCCACATCTACCGAGATGCACTCCTCTCAGCATTCGCTTTGTTCCTCTCAGGCGACCGGCCTGTTTCCTGCCGCTGAGCGTCTTTCCCGAGAGCCCTGAATTCTCGCCGACAGGAGAAATTCAGTTGTGATTTTTCCTCGGAGGATTTTTCCGAGACGTCGCGCACACCGCATTCAAAATCGATGAGCTGCGGAATTCAGGAAAGACTCCGTCGCGGCTGGGTATCTGTTTGAGAGGCGGACTCATTGGTCGAATTGAAGACATTCGCGAAGTTCGCGGGTGTTTTCATGGCATGAAGCTGCAACATCTATTCCGGCCGTCATCCCGTCGAGGTAATTGGACTGAGAGCTCCACTCCAAGCCAGAAGGCTAAGCGAGCTAAGAATAGCCACCTACATACATATGTACATATATTCAGTCCTTTTCAGGTCGATGTCGCGATCCAGCCACTATTTATTACGAGCGCAAATACTTCCGTACATGGTCACGAAACCATCACCTGCACTCCGCGCGGTCCAATAAAACAAATATCGAGTCCATCAATCTGACATCCCGAGCTCCCTTCCCCCAAGAAGAACGCGCAGAATCACAGCCGGAGAATTTTCGGAAAAGGCAAAGTTCTCGACTTCCTCCATATATATTCCTCTCAGGTTGTGAATTGACCGGCTCCGCTGCTGTACATTAGCCGGAGGATGTGGAGTTTGAGCTCGGGGTCTGCACCTTGGCCGACCCGCCCTTTAATTGAGCCTACAAACAAGCGAAGGGAAACTCATTTGTATCATGAAGTGGCTGGCGATTAAGTCCGAACTCACCACGCCTGGTCTCATTTGCATCGAAATGACTAGCCACGAGACACAGGCATTCACAGTCTGGACCATAAATGAAACGTCACGTGTCAAGCGAGACGCCAAATTATTCCGACGCGAAGCGAGCCCTTGAGCTTCGGAGCTTGGATGGTTGACTTTCTTTCGATACGGAATTTCTTTGTGCCAGGGTCCCTGGTATACTCTACCTCTTCTCGAACGAGGTCCTTAGAGTCATGAGCCTTTTACTCTAGTCGAATGTCCACGTCAGAGCTCGCGATCGGCCCGAAGGGATGCTGCAAGGATGAGCCAGTACTAGGATGAGATCGCGGCAGGGGGGTAATAACTCGAGTCACAGCTGGGAAATCACTTTCGTGATACCTGACCTGGATTCAGTAATTAATCCACCACGATCGACACCTCCTTCCGAAAAATATGCGCATGTTATTCACACCGTGATGAATTATCATCACTGATAATCATGCAGAGTCGAGTTTTTAGAACCGTGAAATCGTCGGGCTGGTGGGCTCGGGGTCACTGTTTCAGTCCGTCCAGCCACAACGAAGGTGCTAAATATCATTCTCCCGAAAACTTGAAAAAATCTTCCGAGCAGTCACCTGATACGGGTGTGAGCAGCTGATTGATGCCCGCTCCCTGATCCGTCGTCCCGATACCTTTCGGCTTCATACGAGGTCCGCTTCCGAACAGCCTAGTGCCGCCAATCTCCCAGCCCTCAGCTGACAGACGATCAATTGCTCGATTTAGGAGGACTAATCGAATTTTCATTTCGTTCCGGAGGTGTAATTCGATCTCTTCCCGGAACTGAGGGATTGCTCAAACTTTGTAAAGTAAGGAACAGCGGAGGTAAATCCTGCTTCGAACATTCTCGATCGGAAGGAGCGCGGAAGATGAAGACTCTCCCGAAATGAAACCCGAAATTTGTATCCAGACAGACTTAGTCAGAGTATCCAGTTCGGCACCGCGCGCTCCACGTTCGAATGCAGTTGGTGTCTCAGTCGACCACGTCGATGATCGAACTCACGAGTATTACTGGCTGATGTGGTCAAGAAATCGTTTCCCGCGATTCGAACTCAGAGAATTACCTCCTCTCCATCTTCCCGAGAACGGGTCGCGGCTTCCGAACAGATTCTCCTTGCCGGAGCAGGGAGCCGATTGAATAATATTTCTCGACCCTATCGAGATATGACAGAAGAGACGCTCCGGGTGAGCGAGGTCTCGGAGAAAAAGCGAAGGCACTGCCGTCGTCAGTGCCTTCCGTGTTGATCATCGAAGGGCTGCTCCTGTCACCTTCGCAGGAGCTGATGTTGTGTCACTCTTCGCGAGTGAATCGGGGTGAAGTGAACTTGGGCGCTCAAGCGTCTTTCTGATCTTGAAAAATGCTGAGCGCCGCCTGCCTCAGAAACTGCAAGTGATCGCGTCCGCTGTCTCTACCGTCGCGGTGCGAATGATTCGCAACGGACGAAGTTTGAGGAATGGCGAGAACCTTCGCCGGCGCCTCTCTCAGCGAATCGGTGAGACGCCGTATGGATGCAGCTGTAATTTAACCGTTTGAGCAAGAAAGTGTTTAATGAGAGAAAGCAGCTGCGGCTGATCACTCGCATCTCTTATCGCTCGTCCAGACAGAAGCCTTGAAGAAAGCGAATTGAGAAAGCCATAAAAAATTGAAATCAGGGCGAGGGAATGTTGAGAGCGAGGAGGATCGGAGAGCAAGAAAGCGAACGCATGCTTGAAGCAACAACTGCTGGAGGGAATGCTCCCATCCTCAGCCGAAACCGGGACTTTGCCTATTCAGCCATCTCTCTGCCGTGAAGACTTCTCCGGAGTTGGAACGGTCTTGTGTTCTCGCTTCTCGGGAGAATCAGGCAGAAGGAGCGCCTTCTCCAAAATATGTATATCCAGGAACGTTGAGGAGACCGGTGCAACATGACACATGACTGAGATGCAACGAGTGTATATAGACGGACCATGATGCCCGACAAACCGCGGGAGAAAACGCTCTCGATTGACCTGAGTTGCGGTCGAATGGACCCCATCACCAATATTATGGGAGTACCGAACGGGAAAGTCCGCGAGGACGATGGCGAATTCGACGTATGCATGTATATGTGTTTCTCTTGTGCTCCCTATCGGTCCGCCCTGCTTGCCGTGTCTGCCTCGAGCCTGACGTCCCTGGGATGGTCTCCATCAAATGTCGCACTCTGACGCTGAGTTTCGTTGAATTCGAAGGAGAGCCTCCCGAAGTCGAGCATGCATCGATGCAGACTTTGACGTCATGATAACGAACCACGACTCGCGGAGGAAACTGGACTGGCGCTTCCTCCTCCATGTGTTCTCTGCTCAGTAAATCGTAGTCATTTGCGAAGATCATAATCGACTCCACTCGTAGCCACATATACATTGAAGTCTGAGCAGGATAACCCGAGCATCCATCTTCGAACTCCCTGATTTTCGGAGGAGTCGGAGACGAGAGCGTCAGGCTGCCTAAGCTCAGTCTACGGCAGATTCCAAACCCGAGGACGGGGGCTGCAGATGAGTTTACTTTGTCGGCAATAAATCGTTGACCACATTCTAAATCAGACTCCAAACTCCAGGCGAAGTGAGTATGTTCTCCGCCATCAAATACACGCAAGGAGAAGACCATGATGGAGGAACGCGATTATTTTCCCTGCCTCATCCTAGTCTCTTTGCTCTCATCTCTGCTCCCCACGGACCTTGCTCGGGCTTCCTCTGATCGTCGTATCTAATTCTCTCATGTTGTGTCTCGCGACTCTAGCCTTGGTGGAGATCAAAAGGTTTGAATACTCTGGCATAAGTGAGGCGCATCAATCAAGCTCGGAGTTTTCTGTTGATCGCATCCGGGAAGCGAGTTAGCGCGCCGAATCGATTCTTCGAGATTTGGGCCTCCTGTAATAACGAGTCCCAAGGTTCGAATATATTATCGATTCGGAAAATACACGGAGCAATCAGGAGGAGAAATGGTGATCGCTCTGGGCTCAAATAAACACACCCCGGTCAGAATTTATTATATCACATGGAGTCTAAGAAAAGGTGTAAATTAGGTAGGTCGGATTATTACAACGTAATCCTTGATATGAGTCCTCGAACATTATATACAGGTCGCTCCCCGGAAGTCAATGTTCAGCATCGATTCTTTGCTAAACTGCTTGATTATAAAAGAGCTGTAAAATCGATTCTACTGCAAGGGCTTCGGTCGACATCGTCGTAAATGTGTGACAGCTTCGAAGCGAGATCTTTGAGGGTACAGCTCGGGAAAGGACAAGCTTCGATTCTGATTTCTTCCGCATCGCGATATTCCAGCTCGGGTGTCGCTCCTTGGTGATACATGGCCCTGACGAATAATTCGCCTGAAGAAAAGCAACGATTCTCAACCACTCAATGACACGGGAGCGATTTTTCCGCCGATCCCCACGATCGATCCCCTTCTCGCCTGAACTTTCAGCGGGAAAAGGCACCCGGAATTATGGCATACCGTCGGAATCTCTCCTGTAAACTTGGAAGTGGAGAGCAGCCAAGAATCCAGGGTAAAGTTCCACAGGATCATTCCCCAGAGCCTTGAGCACAGCTTGAATGCTTGTGTCGTGATAAGACAAGAACGAGAACCTGTGCTGGTACGGTCCATTAGCAAAAGTCGAAAGTCTGCTCGCCAGCTGTGGAAGAAGAAAGAAGAGTGGTCAATGGTGATCTCACCGGAACCTTGCCGATATGCGTCTCTTGCTGTCGGAATGTAATTGCCCCTTGGATAGAGCCCGCTCTCACGAATTTGCCGATGTAGTTCCCGTAATAGGGTATTTCGTTGATCCAGTAATCGTGGCTTAGCTTCCTCATGGCGAAATCCAAGGAGCGCCATTTCTCCTCTGCCCATCGGGGTATGGGGAGTTGATTGTACTTCGAGCAATAGATTCCATCGATTATAGGCTCGAAGTAGGCCGTTTCGTTGGGGAGGTAGCCAGTTTTATCCGTGACGAATTTCACGAATTCTGAGAATGATTTCGTACAACGCTTATCATTCGTCAAAGCTCGGAGGTCCTGCTGAAATGTATGTACATATCTCACTCAGATATTCGGTACCGCTGTGGTCATTCACCTCCGAACGTTGAGAATCCATCTGAAGTCAAGGCGGGATCTGTGAGCTCGTCCAGTTCTCTGGAAAAGGTCGGAAATCAGCATCGGTTTTCAGCCCGTGGTTTCACGTAAATAAACGTTGATATGGGCTCGATTCAGAATAAACCTACGGAAGACTCTGAGGAGCAGGCACGTCGCAGGTTTCGACATTCACGTCGTTCCCGATCGGGAGTTTGATGGCTATTATAGGCTGGGTGGGATGCCCGAAGGAGAACTCGTCATCCGGAGGCAACATCTGCCCTAGAGCCAGTTGTTGAGTTTCGGCGCATCTTATATAACTCGAACTCCTGATCCAAGTTTGTCGGATGTTGGTATTTTTGACGAAGTCGCCATAGAACTCTCGCCAGATCTTGCCAACTTTGACGGAAAACCTGTTCCCGATCTTCGTTGAATATCCTAGGCCTGTCAGAGATATACGGAAATAGATATGGAAGGCATCAGTAAACAGAGTGGAACGACTGGATTGGACGGCATCCCTTTTCCCTAGAAGCGAGCTGCCAGGAAGAGGTCGCACGGGGAATAAGGGAACTGGTCCAGTTGGAAGATTGATGTTCTCACCGAGAGGAAAGCTTTCTGTTTTGATAAGCTTATTGTCAATTCTCTGTGGCGCTCGAATACTGTGCCGACTCAGGATCACTACGTGACTCAAAGTGTACCCTGCTGGATCAACGTTGACCTGTGAATCAGTCTGAATTTACGGATACGGTTCGAAATCTCGGAAATACCATGACAGTGAACGAAAACTACATTCCCGATCAGAATCGGGAGCTGAGATCTTTCTCCCGTCCGGAGGTTTGCGCATTCCACCTCGCTGACACGCAACAGCCGGTCGGAATGCATATGGTACGGCTATCGAGGAGGCCCGAACGGCGGGCGCTTGCTCATTCGAAGACTAATTTTTCGTCACACTCTTTATTTACCTGAGCCTTTCGGCTTCGCTCTGATTCTTTGGCAATCTCATTCTCTGAGGGGCTCACATCACATAGCCTAGCATCTTTGATTATATTCGCCGAAGCCAGGCCCGCCAGCAGGAATATCGACAGAATCAAGCGGAGCTTCGGCTGGCAAAATCCCATTCTGGTGACACTGGATAGAGCGACTCACACGCGAGCCCACACGTGACTGCGGTTCTCTCGAAATAGGCTGTCCGCTATATGCACATGTTCGCGCGTGTGAGGGTGCGTCTCTCCAATAACAACGCGCGAGAGCGGCCACCTAGTATTGACACTATGCTCGAGACGGAGCCTTGTAAAATGCAGGAAGCCCTCGACGTCCGCAATAATTATTGCTAGATCGATAGAGAACTGCCAGGGAAAATGTTCTATCCATCTGATCCTCATAAATCCTCATGGATCAGGGCTGCTGCCTGACGCTCTGATCTCCGCTGTACGTTCCAGAAACGCTTTCAGTCGGCACCTTCCGCAGAGTACTACGCTCCCTTCTCAAAGACGATAACAGGGACTTAGTTGTTTCAGATATGATCGGAGCCTCCTCAACTCCAACGGGACGGCCCAACTGCAATTCTTCCACGAGGAAAGAAACGACAGATCCGAGTCCTGAGCGGCGCTTGCTACTGACCCAAGGAGCGAGAGAGACGGTTCGACTTCGAGGGGCTCCGACGATAGATATAGGAGCCGCGAGCAAGATCGAAGTCACGGTCCTCAATCCAGGAGAGAATGTGCTCGAACTTCCAGAAAATGGACCGAATCCCCAGGCCGGAATCGTCGAGGGAGATGGTAGATTGCTGGGTCACTGTGTCTGTGACGATGTTGGAGCGGGAAGACTGACCGCGTGAACGGAGACCCTTTGCCGTAAATTCTTTCGCCGAAGGGACTTCCCTCCAAGATAAAGCTTTTGTGAGATAGTCCGTTCCTCTGGTCTACCCAATGAACGTTCTTTACCAGAATATGGCTCAGATTCCATAACTTGACCTGGGATGATTTCGGGCTTGGGCCTCCGACATTTTCGCCCTCCTAGCAGTAGATTTTCATGGAGGTGCATGGGACATCTGACTCGCTTAAGAACACACGAACACAGCTCATCCGTCGGATGCGATCGCCGCAATTTTCGGCGCCGTGTATATTTCAGATTTTGTCGGACGCTGCGGAGGCGAAAAGTTTGTATTTCACGGATGGAGATACCAGTATATCACGGCGCTGAATAGATGCACATCGCGAAACCACATGACAGTGTTAAAGACTACTTTTTGACGAAAAGCTCCCGGCATCGTATTCCCCCGGGTGAGTCTGGGCGGAATCCCGAAAATGATCCAAATGAAGATTTGAGGGAGACATCCCGTTTTCGACGAATCTCAAACGACTTTCGTCTCGCGAGCAATCAGCCCTGATGACGTCGTCATCCATTTTCGTAGATGATGAAGTGTCCAGAGGGCAATTCTCTCGCCATTCTCTCTTCCGGGCACTAAGCTACCATAGAGCTTTCGTCGTGAGTAAGTCATTATTTGAACGTCTCCTGTATTTCTCCGAGTCAAATGGAAGTACCCGTGCGTCGGTACTCGAGCGCGGGAACATGTGGGTGGAAGAATCTGCAAGAACACGCAAGACGTTCGACATGCCCGCGCATCCCGATTCACCGAGTGAACCTCTGATGCTATGCCGCGTGAACATTCGGGTCAGGCATGGTACCCTACCCCGCAGGATCTCTCAGTCAGTCGATTCCTGAGTCGACATCCTGAGACGAGACGGAGGTCTGAACGCAAGGCTCGATTCTTGAATCAATTCACAGAATTTTCACTAATGTTCGCGGAATAAACATACAATGTAACGAATTTTCATTCTTCTACGAATGAGCTTCTCGGAACTGATAACCTAGCTTTCAGAAGGGAGACACAGAGGACTATCGATCCGGCGGGGGAAAAGCACGAATGAATTCCAGAGCAAACGCGGCGAGAGGCATTGAGGCTGAGTGCGATGTTCTTCTTTGAGTTTATGCTGCCGTGCTCGACTCGGCTCCTTCAGAATTTCAGTTCCTGAGAAGGACGGCATGCCGAAACCATCCGATCCTCCAGAGTAGCAGGAGGTCCCTCGCACAGGTATGTCCTTGATTGGGGGTTCTTGAATTCTTGAGGTCAGCTGCGGATGATGTTATTTGACTCTCAGGCCTCGTTCCGTTCCCTTTCCGATTGTGCGATGCCTGTTCGATCAATGCGTTCGATCCATTGCGGATGCTGTTCTCAATATATGAGCTCGTTCTACGGAGTGAGAAGAACCAGGACTGGGAGGCGAGAAGCGCAACGAGCGAGACGACAGCAGCGGCTTCGCCTGGCAGACATCCGCTTGGCCTGAGCCTGTCCGAAAGCTCCGAGCGAGGTCAGAGAAGAATGACCCTAGGGCCCAGGTCACTCTCGCAGCAGGTCAGTATCGTCCTGAAACTGGCACGACGCGGGCATCATCGCCCCCTCCTCCACCGAAAATCACGCGCCGACAGGCGAATAACCCAGGGAATCGGATATAACTAGTCGCACGAAATATACTGAGGTGCTTACCCTTCGCGAACTGGGGAGCCGACAATTACCGTCAACCCGCTTAGGTTTCTGACGAGTTCTCGAACCGGGCTATTCTCAAAACATCATAAGTCCCGTCGAGACCGCAGGAGAAACTTTTGAAGTGAGGACATCGAGAAATATGAACATATCATTTATCAAAACAGCCGGAAGTACACGGATATTTTGCAATTGAACGCGTTGTTCACGGATTCCGAGAAGGCCTCTGTCACCGCGTCAATCGAAGTCGTACTCAGGGAACGTCGTCTGCGAAAGCATATTATCGATGCAGGTCCTACCGGTTTCCGGTGCTTCCCCATAGTATTTGTCGAAAAGACCGCGAACATTCCTAGTGTAGTTTGTCAGGGGACAGATGGAGCCACATTCCGGAAGCTTCAGGTCGATCGGTGCTATGTAGGTGAAGTTTTCATGTATTCCCGGATAGTACTGCATTCTGACCAGATATTCACCTATAAACATTGAATACGAGAATGTCAGAAATGCAATAGTTCCGAGTGTCGACTTCCATTACAGAGCGACATCGACAGTACTCCATCCGTGAAGGCTATCACGAGGGGTTCCCCGCTCCTACCACTGGTCTCGGGCTCGTAGAGGCGGAAATGGACCGCTGCCCCGAAGCGGGGGAAAAAGTCGATCGTATTGATGTCCAATAGATTTAGGAATTGTATAAGATTCGTATCGTGATATCCCATCAAGTGGATCGCAGGCCCAGGGGAAGCCTCTCGAGGCTGCAGACGAGTCAGGATCTGTGAAAGAATCCCGAACATGATCTTCCTATCGCTCAGAATAACGTGATACGATTAGAATGAGATCAAAGTGGGGATCATCCACTCTTGGTGAGGGGAATGCTCGAACCCATTTCAAAATCTTGGCCCCCTCCAATCCTTTCGCTTCTGCTATAGACGCGACTGCTTTCACGGCGAAGAAGACGGCTTCGAAACGTGTGTCGGCCCACGCCGGCAATCCAAGAAAATTGTATCTGTGACAAACGAAAGCGCCCACCACTCTCTTATGGACCTCACTGTAAGTTCTTCCTCCAGACATTTTCGTCAGCCACATCAGCAGGACTGTGGAGCATTCGTATGGTTCGGTCTAATTCGAGGGAGGCAATCTTCCGGATTGGAATTCGAAGCAGAAGACGACAAACTCACCTTTGAGGTCTCTGAACCCGTATTTCTTCAAGAGAGGGTGTGTCATGTTCAGGGGCAGGCTGGATTTACAGTCCGAGAAAACAAAGCTCCGAGTTCTTAGTCAGCCATTGTGAAATACCGTCATACGAAAGAAAGTCTCCGCTCAGCCTACGCACGTGACATTCTGTCGTGGCACGCATCTGCTCCTCAGAGCATCCACAATCTTGTACGTAATTTTTTTCTTCCTGGCATTCGCCGCCATTTCCTCCTTAGGAAACATCGATTTCGTAAGTAGCTGGAGTGTTTGAATACACCTGTACACAGAGGAACTGTAAACGCCGACCAAGGCCGGGTCCTTCGGCACAAAATTCCCGTAGATCTTCCGCATCGTACAGCCCATCATGAAGGAAGTCAACTGGCCTAAGTCCGTCAGATTGCCGAAACCTGCGGAAATTCAAAGGCTCGACCTCAGATATTCGGGAGAAAGTATTAGGGGTCGCCTTACACGCAAAGAGACAATAAACTTGTGGGAGAACGGGGAGAGAAAGTACACTCAGGAGAACAAACCGTAGGGGAATAATTTCTTCATGTCCGTCCATTTCGAGGAGCCCAGAGGAGCTCTGATGCTATGGCGCATGAAGATCACGACCACGTTTAGCTTGTACCCATCGAGGTCAGGCAGCGGCTACACACATGAGGAGGGGAATCATGAGGGGAATCGAGAACACGATGGTGTTTCGGAGGGGCAGTGAGATTCCTCAGCATGATGTCATAGGCCCATATTTCGCTCGATATACTGCTTGAGCATCAGGAAGAAACGACACATGGTGCACGCGTGAGGTATCCAAGGACTCTATGATGAATTTTACCTCAGCCGAGAAACAGTAATCGTCCCATTTCAGGGAATCGAAATTGATTGGGAACGAAAAGCCTTTTCTTTGCGCTCGGTTCGGTAAGCTTACAGAAACTACGAAAATGAGAGCCACCAGGAGGATCAGGAAAACGACGCCTCCGAGAATGGTGCGCCGATTGCTTCCGACACCGTCCCCATCGCTCGCGACTCTCGATTTCCGCGTGGTTCCTTCGGAAGTTTCGGAATCTTGGTCGCGTGAAGGGAGCTCATTCGAGCCCCGGCGAGGCGAGGCGAGGGTTCTCGCTCCAAACATTAGCCTTCGTAGTTTTCACCCCGGGACTTCTTTTCCCCCGAGAACTAAATACACAATGCCCTGGGGAATTCCCGCAGACAGAGCATGATGGAATGATCTCAGCCAGTCACGGTAAGAGCCTCGTGAGCCGCCAAGTCAGCGTCGCACCACCGATACCTTCCAGAGCGAAGTTTGCGTCGACGTATCAAACGTCATTTTTTCAACGCCTGGGCCCGGGGCGACTCTCGAATGATATCCTCTCGCCAGGGACCGATGCGCGGGCTGGAAAATCAACCGCGGGAAATGAGCCGTATTTCGCGCTTGCTTCGGGGAGACAGCGAAGTCGCGACATCACCTGTGGATCACTGCTCGGGCGACCCGAGCGAAGTTGTCGACTAAAGCACGTATGTGTGTAAAAAATTCGACGTCGCCCGAAAAGAAAGAGAAGCGCGGAAAAAGCGACAGAAGAACCAGAGAAACCACAGGTCCTGGAATATTCGAATCCTTCAAGGAAGCATCCGAAGCCAGCGATATTCGATATTGATGTAAAATTACACATTGTATATTATGCATCAAACATCCACAATATCCAATCCTAATGCATCATCGACTCTCATTAAGTCATGACAATACCACCCTATCGGCACAGGCCGCACTGTTTCTCGGAGCTTGACTGCGGTACTTCTTGAATAAATTCTCTATGATTCCCGCGAATTTCGACATGGGACAGGAGAAATCGCAACCAGGAATTTTGAGCTCTATGGAGCTCATGTAGGTGAAGTTTTCTGCGAAACCTTGGTAGTACAAGATCTGGACCCTCGGCTCATCTGCAAGTCGGCCCCGTGTTAATCTCTAACGAGACAATCTCCGTGGATTGTCTCCCGAGCGAATTCGAACCTGTGTGTGATTCAGAGGTGAAATTCAGGGACGACTCTCGACCGCGCGAACTTGCCGGTCGGAAGACTTGGAAGTGCAGTCCTGAAGAAAAGCGCGGAAAGTATTTTATCGTGTCAACGTCCATGACATTCAGAATTTGAAGCAAAGTCTTGTCGTGGTAGCTTAAAACATGGAATTTGAATCCAGGGACGCTCGCGCTCCGCTGTAACTGCTTCAGAATCTGGAACAGGATGAGAATCACTGAATTATTTATTCGACGGTTTCATTGGAGCGAACTTTCCCCCATTCGCCAGGACTCCGGTGCTCATTACTCGAGAGATGCGGAAGTCAAGTCGCAGAGCTACCCGGCTGGCGTCGGTGACCCGGGGAATTTCTCTCCAGTAACAGAGAACACTAGAAACAAGAAACCAGAGCTTTCGGACCCATTTCAGAAGTTTCGCTCCATCCAATCCTTTCTTTTGACCGGTAGACATGACGACCTTCAGCGAAAACAGTATCGCCTCGTACTTGTTTATCGACCAGTCCGGAAGGGTCATATTGTTGTATTTCAAGCAAATGATGGCGTCTACAACTTTGTTCTGAACATCAGCGAGGCTCTTGAATCCAGTCTGATGCCTCAACCACAGCTGTAAATCTGAGGTCGAGAGGTTCAATAAACTTCATTCGATCTGGAGTCCAATCTGATGTTTTGGCGGCCGGTCTCTGAATTCGTTTAGATGGATGCTGACCTCCAAAATTTTCGAAACCCGCTTCCTTCAACACGGGATCGGTCAGATTGAAGAAATCGCTGCACCGGAAACCGTAAGAGCATTGTTCCTTAGAGAGGCCTAATTCTCCCGAGAAAGCCATTCGTTCGGAGGGCTGATAAAAACGTACTTGAGATCACGATGGAATGGCGAACATCTCATCCTTAGGTAATCATTCCGGGAGATTGATGTCTTATAGTTCGAATTCGACTCCTTGGGGAACAATGACTGCAGAATCAGAGACAGCGTATGTACACATCTGGTACTGGAAGAGCTCATGGCTTGGATTTGACTCGGATCTTCCGGCATGACCTTCCCGTAAGATTTTCGCAGCGAGCAACCAGTCATCCGAGCAGCTCGCCTGCCCAATTCAGTCAAGTTGCCGATTCCTGTTGAGGAGCACCGACGTCTCGCCAGCTAGTTTTTGAGCAATTCATATGCGAGCATAAGATGGGGGCTCCGACTTCTATCACCTAATTTGGGGATGGGCAAACGGTCATACCATCAGGAAAACCTTGGTCGCCGAAATAGGACCCGTCTCCAGGGGCTCTGATGCTATGTCGCATGAAGATCAGGGCGGAATTCAGCTCAAAACCATCAGGGACGTCAAACGGCTACTCAGGTCGGGCAATGGGGTCGAAAGAAATATTGGAGATGGTTGAGAAATTGAGAGTGTATGCTCGCATCATCGCTTGTCGTGTGAATGGAGCAAATGAATAATATGTGGAAACGGTGCGATGGAATCTCACCTCGATGTCGGGACAGATAGCATCTGGACTGGGCAGATCAAAGTCGACTGGTATACGAGACATTTTCAGGATCGAATCAATTATTAAAGTCAGAGAGGCAATGAATAAGAGGACAATCATCAGAGCCGCTATTCTCAATTGAGATCGACGAATCGTAGAGCTGTTGTAGGGCGAAGACTGGGGCATTTGTCCACCGTAGCGATGTAAACGAGGCGGGAGAAATCAGTCAGTGAGTTTTAGGAGGAAACCGACTCACTTCTTCAGGAGGTCTCGACTGTCGACCCCAAAGTTCCCAGCGTATCTTCTGCGATCTGCGACGAATCATATTGGCATATTCTCATAGACTGAAAACGATGTTATGATGGTGCCTGCGCGAGGTGCGAGAGCTTCTCTATCATCCAAGCGATTTTCACGTGAGCTGTTCGGCTGATTCGGACAACGAAGTCAATGACGCCAAACCTTGCGCCGCATCCGATACCCATTGGGACTGTCGGATTTCGCATTTGGAAGGAAACACTGATACAGCCCTGAATTCCGCTGAGGCATCCCGGGGGCACGGACTGCACGAAAAATTCGGCTTACGTCAGGTCCCTGTGAGGATCGCTGAGGTTCACGAGCTGATTCGAGGTCCAGATCAGAGAACACGATTTCGTAGTCGTCGAATGGCGGAGCTCTGGGTGTCCATTAATTTTTCATCTACATATCTAGGAGAGGAACTTTCCGTAAGGGTCGCTGTCAGGCCCGCTCTTTTCCTCGAGCAATCAATCCACCGGCTCTTTCGGTCCCTACTTTACGTAAGAAGTCGGCGCGCATACACTAACCATGTACAGATCGGAACGAGCCTGGAGTCATTCGACTGAAAACTGGTCTCTTTCGCTCAGATAAAAGACTTTTCCGAAGGCAGGCTCCTATTTTCACCCCCGGCCTGGTCTCATGATTCGATCTCGAAAAGCGACCAGGAAATCTTCCCCTCAGTTCAGTTAAGGAGCGCAAAAGCATTTATCCATAACGAGAGAGCTTAAGCTCATCGATCAAACGCACCATATTCCGGAATTGACATCCAAAATGGGTGCCGAAGCAGCCCTAGCTGGTCCACCCAGCCTTTTCAACTTTATACGCCCGTCAACCCGCCGGTGGGCCGATCAGGTTACCACCGACGGCTGACGGACGCCGATCTCACTTGTTATCATGAGGCCGGCAAGTTGAAGGGTTTGTTTGTTTGTTTGCTTGTTTCGTTTGTGCCCCCGAAGGGACAACAGCTGGTAGAGCATCCAAGGCTTTTATAGCGGATCAAACCGGCGTCTCTCGAGTACTGGGCGTTGCATGAGGACTCATGGAACTTTCGGCCCACCGCAGACTCATCTCTCGCGAAGACACACGAGAACGACTTCCGTGAGCCTGGCTTTCGGACTGCATAAGAGCTTCAAGTTAGTACAACGATCGATGTAAGCTCTAATAGCCTTTTTCTCAAATTTTTGCTCGGAGTTGCCAGCTGAGGTCTGCTCACGATGACACACAGCGGCGGAGGAGAGTAGCAGACCGGTGCTTTCACTCTCTGATGTGGCGCGTGGCGCGCTTTTTTGAATGGCGGTGCTTTACCGCCGTTCATCTCGCTGACAAAGAACAAGAGGATTTTCGCCACTCGACTCGGAACGAGACGGGACTTTCGGCCTAATGGGAGAAAACATATCAATTCATCACGGAATCTGAAGGATCGATGCGGAACATGGGCGGCAGTTCCGGAATTCCGACCTGTATGCTTGCGGACGTATCGTCCTCAGCTGCTACAACATCGAGAGGGCCGAAGAATTGCGCGATCTTACCTGACGGGACCTTCCGAATGCTCTGTCCTCGTAGCTCCGGAAGAGGAACGCCCCTGTCACAAGATTCCATCGAGAATCTTGTTTGAGAAGACCCGACACCACGGATGTCCTTGACCGGGTCAGCTGACTTTCTCTCCACGGCCGACCGCCTTGCGGCTCGATCCTTACTGGATCAAGATCACAAACTGGCCTCATAATATATGATCTTCTCCGATCTAGAAGCGAATTTACGATACCATAAATATATTTGAGGTAGACGCCGGAGCTGAGAGCATGTTTTGCTTGTGCACCCTCGATGCAAGGTCACGAATGGACATATCGCATCATTCAAGGATCGGTTGCTTTCTTCTGGAGAAGTGAAACACGCGGACCTCGATATCCAGGGGTGAATGAGGGGAATTCTCATAGTGGAACACGCGAAGACGACGATCAGATAAAATTCCAGACCAGGTAAAGATTTATTCTGATTCCGTTCGATACCGACGGTGAATGCTTATTTTAAAGCTTTGGAGATAATAGGTGCGGATGAACGAAAATCTCAGGTATTACGAAAAAATCATCACCTTGAAGTCATCTCCGTCCGCCTTCAGGCGTCCTGGGGACCTTCGGTCTCGCAGCGAAAACTGTATCTGGATGGATCGAATCTAAAACTGAGGGCGTATTGAGGATCGCCGGGAGATTCACGGGTTCCGGGGATGAGGTGCGAATCACCGGCGTGACTTGGAGCACGTTCGCGGAGTCTGTCGAGGACACAACGTTCATCGATGTGCCATTGACCTGGAGCAGAAAACGCGTACTTCAGACCGAGAAAAAGGAAAAACCTCTTCGCTTTCCTCTCTCGGGATATTCATGGTCGGAAGCTGAGCTTCCGCGCTGGTCAGTGATGGTGGGGCGAAGGACACGTACCAAACTAGCTTTACGGATTGATTGCGATATGGCCGGAAGCTCCGAGGCCGTAAGGCCATAAAAGACTTTTCCCGAGGCAGGCTCCTACTTTTACCCCCGGCCGGGTCTCATGATTCGATCTCGGAAAGCGACCACGGAATCCCCCCCCCCTCAGTTCAGTCGAGGGGCGCAGAAGCGTTTATCCATCACGAGACCATCGATCAAACGCACCATATTCGGGAATTGACATCCAAAATGGGTGCCGAAGCAGCCCTAGCTGGTCCACCCAGCCTTTTCAACTTTATAAGTTCATCAACCCGGCGATGGGCCGATCAGGTTACCACCACCGGGTGACGAACGCCGACCTTACTTGATCTCATTAGTGCTGTGCGCCATATCCAGGACGCAGTGCACGGCGCCACAGACTCAATGCTCAAGCGCTATTGAGCATTGAGTCTATGGGACTTGAACTGCTCGGCGCGGCGCACACCTCCGCTTGAGATCATGAGGCCGGCAAGTTGAAGGGTTTGTTGTTTCGTTTGTATTGTTTTTGCCCCCGAAGGGACATCATCTGTTAGAGCATCCAAGGCTTTTATAGCGGATCAAACCGGCATCTCCCGAGTACTGAGCGGTGCATGAGGACTCAAGGAACTTTCGGCCCACTGCGGACTCTTCTCTCGAGGAGACACGCGAGAACGACTTCCGTGAGCCTGGCTTTCGGACTGCATAAGAGCTCCAAGTTAGTACAACAATCGATGTAAGCTCGAATAGCCTTTATCTCAAATTTTTGCTCGGAGTTGCCACCTGAGGTCTGCTCACGATGACACACAGCGCCGGACGAGAGTAGCAGACCTGTGCTCTCACTCTATGATGTGGCGCGTGGCGCGCTTTTTTGAACGGCGGTGCTTTACCGCCGTTCATCTCGCTCACAAGAGAATTCAAAGAATTCTGACAAAGAACCAGAGGATTCTCGCCACTCGGAACGAGACGGGACTTTCGGCATAATGGGAGAAAACATATCAATCCATCTGGAATCTGAAGGATCGATGCGGAACATAGGCAGCAGTTCCGGAATTCCGACCTGTATGCTTGCGGACGTATCGTCCTCAGCTGCTGCCACATCGACAGGGCCGAAGAATTGCGCGATCTTACCTGAGGGGACCTTCCGAATGCTCTGTCCACGTAGCTCGGGAAGAGGAAAGCCCCTGTCACAAGATTCCATCGAGAATCTTGTTAGAGAAGACCCGACACCACGGATTTGACCGGGTCAGCTGACTATCTCTCCACGGCCGACCGCCTTGCGGCTCGACTCCCTACTGGATCAAGATCACAAACTGGCCTCATAATATATGATCTTCTCCGGTCTAGGAGCGAATTTACGACACCATAAATATATTTTATGTAGACGCCGGAGCTGAGAGCATGTTTTGCTTGTGCACCCTCGATGCAAGTTACCGGGTCGCGAATGGACATATCGCATCATTCAAGGATCGGTTGCTCTTTTCTGGAGAAGTGAAACACGCGGACCTCGATATCCAGGGGTGAATGAGGGGAATTCGCATAGTGGAACACGCGAAGACGACGATCAGATAAAATTCCAGACCAGGTAAAGATTTATTCTGATTCCGTTCGATACCGACGGTGAATACTTATTTTAACGCTTTGGAGATAATAGGTGCGGATGAACGAACTATGCCCCGAAAATCACAGGTATTACGAGAAAATCATCACCTTGAAGTCATCTCCGTCCGCCTTCAGGCGTCCTGGGGACCTTCGGTCTCGCAGCGAAAACTGTATCTGGATGGATCGAATCTAAAACTGAGGGCGTATTGAGGATCTCCGGGAGATTCACGGGTTCCGGAGGTGAGGTGCGAATCACCGGCGTGACTTGGAGCACGTTTGCGGAGTCTGTCGAGGGTACAACGTTCATCGATGTGCCATTGACCTGGAGCAGAAAACGCGTACTTCAGACCGAGAAAAGGGAAAAACCTCTTCGCTTCCCTCTCTCGGGATATTCATGGTCGGAAGCTGCGCTTCTGCGCTGGTCAGTGATGGTGGGGCGAAGGACACGTACCAAATTAGCTTTACGGATAGCTTGCGATATGGCCGGAAGCTCCGAGGCGAACGGAGACTTACGACCCGAGGACCTCGACTTCCTGGTCTCCTGGTTATTGGGCATCGGATTTACAGCCTGCGTTTGGCGTCGTATCCGAGAGCCGCTCGTACTGATTGATCGCCTGCAAACAGCTCGTCAGACGGATACTCTCCATCGGCTACAGCGCTTCGAGGAACGGAGAATACGGGAGGAATCCGTTCAACGGTCTCACCGACTCCCTAGGTTCCTCGATCGCACCTGCATTCATTTCATCATGTTGCCTGCTTCTCCTGAAGCTCTTCACGAGTTCCGGCGGGCTTGCATCCAAGTCTCCCGCTCTCTGTTCAGGCAGCCCGAGATCCCTCCGAAACTCCGAATAGATGTATCTCACCTCGGATAAGGCTCCAGTGGCTTGCTGGGTTGTGTGTATAATTTCCAGAGCAAAGTCTCTCCCGCGACTGCATCCTCCAAAGTGCACGGCTCGCCCTGGTCGATTTCCATTTCAGTTTCGTCGTTCTGTGATGGAAGGGTGAGTCCTTTCTTTAGTGCTCTTACATCATACGACCCTGTGGGAGAGCGATCAGCTCGATCGACCTTGAGTTCCGACCGTCTCCGGGCGGGTCGGAATGCCGATATTTCCTTTTCTCGATAAGGAGGAGCTATTCTACTATTTCGTCTAACGAACCAGAGTCGAAGTCTCTTCTTCCTCTGGGAAAGTTTTCTCGTCTTCCTTGTCTTCCTGCACCGTCGAATCTGTTTCCAATTTTTCCAGGATGCAATTGACTTGTTTCGATAACTCTTCGGAGGGACCATTCCGGAGCTGCTGGAGTTTATCCATGAACTTCCTCGCTCTCGCTTCGCTCAGTAGCTCTCGATCCGAGATCAGACTATACAATGATCCATTCAAGTACGGGAGGACTTCTGAGAATAAACCGACAAAATCAGTTGCGCCGACATCCGGAAAAATCATCGATCACGCCGAGGACCTCTGACCAAGCCGAGAAATTTTCCGCGGGCTCCTGGCGATCTGCTCTCGGATAACTCCTCCTTGATTTGAGAATCGGTGATAATGCATGCTTCTCAAGTGTTGGGTGATTGGAGAATAAGAAATACTTTGAACGTCACTCGAGATCGAGCACGCAAGGCGATGCTCGATCAGGGCGGTATTCAGAGTAATTCTGGGTCTCCGGAGCAAACTCAACAGTGTGCAGCGAGTATTCACGTGGATGGTCATTTCGCGTGGAGAGAATTTCTGCCTTACTGGGAGGTCTGTCTAGGGGGAATATGCCGAGCTCCACTCGCTCGATTCGGGTCGTGCGAGACGATAATGGAATCAGAGCGATACCTTGATGATTCATTCCGTACATCCCCATTACCTGGCACGTTCCGATCATACAGTTGTTCGATTACATCGAGGGTCAGCTGAGCTTCTGATGAGCAAGCCTTGCGTCCCCGAGGACACAGGCAGAGATTCATGAAGAGAGCCGTCGCGAACTCGAACGCGTAGGGGTTGAGACTCCCCTCGGCGTCGCAACCCAGAGGTAGGGTCTTCAGGAGCCAGCCTATCGTACCGCCGTCGACCATGATCACGGCCAACGTGCGCCTGTTGGACAGCAGGCGGAGTCACTCAATTAGTCTCGGTGTCTGTTGAAGATCGTAGTTCTGCCTTGATCAGAATAGACGGACCAGGCAACTCAGGCTAGGGCACTGACCGGAGGCTGAGTTTCTGTAACGAAGCGATCACCATGTCCTTCGCGACGGGGTCCATTTGACCATCGGCGAGGGAATCTACCATGACGCTGACGAGCTGCGGATTCCTCGCGAGGTAACTCCTGCCCTTACAAAATGACGCGAATGCATTGATGAGTCGATACAATCCTTGTTGGAGTCGAGTCGACGGAGAGCGCAGAAGATGCAACAGGCTGGAGGCGAAAGAGGAATGAATTATATTCGAAAATATTCGCTCCTCGATTCAATTTCGTGTCGAAGAGACAGGTGGAGAAAGCCTCCGAATAAGGCATAGCAGGATGTCTCACCGAGTAGCATACTCCGACTGTCTTTTGAAGCAGCCGAGCAAATCGTGAGATATGAATGCCATGAGTGTTGAGTGTCTCCGTTCCAAACTCCCGCATTTCGTCAATTGCTGGAATCGAGATGGGGGTCTCTCTTCATCCCTCTTGAGGATGTCAGTTACTCCGCTGGCGAACGCACAGCTTTGGAAATCTCCGAAGGTACAAGGAATAGAAAACCGATATCGGACTCGAGAATGGGTCTACGCATCCCTAGTGATGATGGAGAGGAAAGAGAGGACTCACCCATCTCAGAGCTTGAATCAGGCGGCACTTCGTTTCCAGGTCGCTTCGGAGTAGTTCGTTTTTAACGAGGTGATAGTTGAGCTCGTACGCGACAAGCGTCGACGCGATCGGTGCTTCCGAACCCGTTGTTGAATCCATCATCTGTATTTACGGCGAATGATATCGTTCAAGCCACCGTCCTCACCGTGTGGATAATAAGGAAATGGAACGGAGGAGCCGAAACTATAGGTCATACCTTGACTTCATCCGGAGAATCCGGTGATCCTGCATGCTTCAAGGTGTTCTGGTTGCTCAACTGCGCTAACAAGTTCGGCACCTCGCGCTGGCAATAACCAAGAATATTTTCCATATCGACCTGAGAAGAGAGAAACCTTGTACTGATCCCTCAACAGTCATCTAGATTGGAGTGGAGATGGAAACTTCTCCGCGCAAGCCGACATTTCGATTCTTCTAGTTGCGACGATTTCTCATTCGAAGCTAGGCAAGATCCTCAAATGGATCAAAGACTAGATCCCTATCAGTTCGATATCGAGGAGAAGCAAAATCGATCCAACCCGGAAAGCAATAATTCGAGAGATCGTGGGGTGATCAAAGATACGCTTCCATATAGTTCTCGCTCCGAGAATCATCAGCCCGTCTTATACGAGTGGCCCTCATCGCAGCCTTCAACCGTAGTCTATTTTCATCTTGAGCACCGCCAGAGTCAGAGAAGGAAGGGCTCACCACGCGTCCTTGAATCGCACTTTCTAGAGCGTTAATGAGTTCTCCTGTGACTCCCATGAGACGCTGATGTTCTTCTTCCAGTCGCAGCAGCTGCCGGGTTGTGGTTGAGTTTTGCGTCGTGGTCTCTTCGAGACGTTTCTCCAAAACCGACATCTCAACACGGAGATCTGGAAGGTATTCAGTAGAGGTAGAAGGCTCCGCAGATCTAAAGGACTCAAACTCGAAAAACTACGAGTTGCCTCGGAAAATGCCAAGCCTCGAAAAGTAGCGAGAGCTTCTCCCTCGCGCCCATGACGTTTTCCGGAACCCTCGAATGATGGGTCGAATCGAAACAGAGAAGACGCTCACCGTTCAATTCGTTATCAGCACAATGCTGCAATTTCGAAGAGAAATTAGGGAATGAAAGAGTCACACACCATAATGAAACCCACGGTTTCGTCTGGATATTCTCAGTCAGCAGAACTTATACGCTTACGTAGAGATAGGATAGTCTCGTTGGTTTTAGCTTTGCCGAAACCGTCTCGCTCATCTGGAGTACGTCGTCAGTATACGTTGCGAGCCGAGTCTGGAGTGCGCCTAGCCATTCGTCACTGAAAACTTTACCGAACGTTTGGTGATCCCTGAGCTTGCTCACGTACGGCAACGCGTAATAATGAAGGTGGAGTGACGATTCAGACATGGCGCTCCCCCTCGATTCGAGAAAAGTACGAAATCGTAGCATGGACTCTTCGCATTCCAGCTTATCCTGACGAGAGTAGATGTACGTCAGTTTCTAGACTATTGATTGTATGAGGATCGGCGCGTCGGATATCTTATCTGTCCTAATAATCGATAATAGTTGGCCTGCTGCTCTGAGCACCGAATGAAATCATTCATTGGTCGCCGCGGAATGTTGAGGAGTTGGTCCGCTTACAGCATTCGGATTCCTCTGGGGATGAACTGCGAAATGGACCCGGAGTTCGAGCTCAAGGTCACTGGCCTCAGACAAAAGTTCCTTGGAGCAGTTCAGGACCGCTGGTGTTAGATGGCTGCTCCATATTAGGAAAAACCTGCTCTCTTCTCCAATGGTGAAGTAGTGCAGCAGATCATCCTGCAATCGAGAAACGAGGATGGTTGGAAGGAATTCTCCCCATCATATTGGTTCCGAGAGACTCAATTTCAAATGGTATTCCGCGCCATGTGGGAAGCTCCCCATGCTGAAAGACGCCGCGCTGGTGTTCACAGCGGCCATCTAAATTTCGCTGTTGAAATGAGAAGGGCTGTATGGAGGACAAGCCTGCAGGGAATGGGGACTCGCTTTTCAGCGTCGTTGGTATTGCCGTGTATGCTCACGCAAAATCGATAAGCCCGTCGTTCCACAGTCGAAGGATGCTACCTCAAGGTCTATGTCAAACGACTCACCGACTGATTGATTTACTGAATGAATAACGAACCTGTCCGACGGACTATATGTCCTGCGGGAGGACTTGTTCTTGCGAGTCTATTCCTAGAGTGATCGATGACTGAAAATTTGGATAAGCCAGCTCGAGCCTCCCGGAGAATTTCACAACTAGCTGCCGATTCTTAATAATCTGAATAGAAGCGTTTCCCTCGCACCGCGAAACTGTCTAATCGTCGCGCGGTCGATTCACGTCAATTCAGGCATCCCAGAGCCTTGTCTGAGCGAATGTAAGTCTCTGAATTATACATATGGTCAATGCCAGTTATTTCGACTGCTCTCCGGTAGAAAAACTTAAGTCAGAAGAGACTGATTGTGAGTTATTTCCGGATACTTCGATTTTCCTGAGCAGCGATTCTGCGTTTTCCCGAATCGGGATATCAACCGCAGCAGGCGAAATGCGGAGCTCATATCGTGAGAGGATAAACTTCGCGAGAATGTTGGGCGCCAAGAGGGACCAAGATTCGGCCTCCTTTGCTAGTTGTTGGGCTATGGGCCGACTCAGCCACCGCTACATTTCATTAAGCGCCGCCATCCGCCGCCGCTCTCAGTTAATCAAATTCAGTCCCAGGAAATCATGTCAGCTGCTCATAATCCGAGGGGCTTCATTCGTCCCTCGTTTTAGGCCATTGAACATGATATCGATGCATCCTTCGGAAGGGCCGCCGCCCGTTGTGTGGACGGCTGGTCCAGCTCAGGCGAGCAGCGAGATAGCCTGGATATGCATTCTCTTACATTCTACCTCAGAGGGACTGTCGAGAATACTCGTCGCTGTTCCTCCCGTCACGCCCCGCCGTAGTATCGATTTTCACGACCTTTCCGATTTGCGTCTCGAGGGCGAACACCTCCGCCGTAGAGCTCTCATTTTCGAACGCGATAGAAGCAACGTTCATCGATGCGTCTCGGAAGTCCAACAATCGAGTCGATTGGATCAAAGGCCAGTGAAAACGGTAGCCTGCGAAAGACTTCGAGTATCACTTCGAGCCTCCGGTACCCGTAAACGCACGATGCCACTGTCAGGGCGGATACAATGGACCCCAAATAGTTGACCTGGAATGCGTTGGTGGTGTCGTATGGGAGCCAAGGTTGTCACGCTCCGGCTGAAGTACATTGTGACCCACTTGGAACTCATCGCATCATTTTTCCATCATGACGATACGATACGCTCCGGCTGTACATATCGTCATCGGTGTCATTCACGACGATCATAAGTACATCATCTCTCAATTCTATCACACTTGAGTGAGCCATGTGGTCGCAACGAGCCCAATTAGGGATCAGGATCTCGACCGCCCGAGAGGTCACGAGGCGATTCAATTCATCGTGAGCATCATTCTGGCGATCCAGGTATCGTCATCGAATCGAGTGTTACTGAACCTCGTGAATTCGAGGGTCGCCCCCGAGCTCTCGGAGGGAGTTCTGAAATTTCTCACGTCGAGAACTGCCTCTGAACTCGGGGCGTATCCACAGAAAGCAGGGTCGACATGGTGCTCCCCCTTTCCTTCGCGAACGAGAAGGGGAACCACAATGCCGAATTTCCATCGGGAATTCCTCCCCGATCCGACATTGCTTCCCACTCCAGAAGGAAAGTCTGAAATTTTCCGAGCTAGCCCCGTCAGAGAGACCAAGAAGCATTCGAGTACTCAATGACCTTGCCAAAGCCTCCGGAGATTCCGACAGGGTGGATCTGTGTACACGAATACTCCTGTGGGTATTTTCGCTCCAGTCCTGATTCGGAAACGTCAGACCAACATTCTCCGAGACAATCATCGTCGGATTCGATTGATCGAAATGTTTTTATTGCGGTAACTGGCAGCACGACCTCTTCTGATGCGGCTCTGAGCTTCCGACAGAGATTTGAAAACGAGGAGGTTCGGTCCTGATCACCATTTTCCTCAAGCCGGTAACCCAGAAAAGGGACCTCTCCTCTCGTACAAGAATGAATATTCCACGAATCGGTCGCACGCTCTCGACAGAGTGTCCCTGGGTTCTCGATCCATAGATTATCATTCTCATCGATACATGCATCTGCCAGAGGCCAGAGCATCGCTCATTATGCCTAACAAAGAGCAGTTTCGAGAAATCAGAGGTGTGAGTATAACCGCTACTTGATGCTTGAATAGCTTAAGTGCATAAACGGTTCCGATCGAAGGCTTGACCCTGCCAGCCCCCAAAGCCGCGTTGTCTCGCACGGATCAAGAAGCACTCGGGTTTTGTGGAACTTCCGACATGGACCCAATTAATTCAAGCACAATTCAGACCGGACGGAATGAGCTCAGCGAATGCATGGAGCATAAAGAATCGCTCATAAATGTTCAACAGGGTGATATCTCCCTCAAGGATGGCGTATAAACAACACGGACTGAATTCCGATATTCACTAAGACTCATCCTGTGCAATGAGATCAGGACTCAAAAAAAACATACGACTTACCTTGATCTTCTTTGCTTTCTGTTTACGGGAGAGCCGAATTCTATCCAGATCCAGAGGTTTCCCTTGCTCTCGGCACTCATCCTCGAAAACTTTGCAGGATCTCTCGAATCCACTCTGCTCTAAGAACTAAGGATTCCATGAAGAAATTAGTTTCGGAGGCAGAATTAAAAAATCATTCGCTCAAATTCCGGTGCGCGTTCCGAAGACATCTGGCCACGGAAAATGCCGAGCGGAAGCGGAGGGAACCTGTATTCCTGGACAGCCCCGCAGGATGATAATTTCACTTTGACTTGCTTCCAGTTTGACCGAACTAACCTCTCGCACGATAATGTTAAGTTCGGCTTCAATAGACATATCGCTGACTATGTCGGCGGTCCTGATCAGCCTGTCGATAGTCTCCGCCAGGAACTATCGCAGACGCTACATGATCGCCACCTGGATTCAGATGGTATTTACTTCGCAAGCTCGTGCTCGGAATCCGCACGGAGCACGCCGTGAGAGAGGACTGCTACGGCTGGGGTAAGGGAATGTTGCCAGGGGTAACGTGGATTCTTTGACGTAAATTACATCTAGCTCAGTTTGCGACATCCGCTGGCATATTGATCGAAATCTTCCGACACTTGTCAGACGCGGAGAGAATCCATGCTGGGATACACAGTTTATTTTCTTACATGTTATACGGCGCAGACCTTAAGGGTCCAGAATCTAGAAGGAGACACAAGGCTTTTTGAATCGTTCCCGCACTGGTCACCAGGAAGCTCGGATGATTCGGCATTGGTGCACAGCGACACTTATCTCCCGAGTCTCGGCTCTCCCGTAGCGGACGTCCCCCAATGTACCGAGCCCGTCAAGTTCCTGTCTAGCACGACTCTCCCGCGTTTTCCTCGAGCCGACACGGGGAAAAGATGACAAAATCTTTCGGGACCTCCACGGAGTCACTTCCGCGATTATTTGACGCTTCCTTCACAGAGAAATACCGATCCGCCGACGATATCGCCTTCTCTTCCGCGTCCCTCAGTGGTCGTCCGAGCGCAGGATTCGTAACAGAGGTTCGTTTGTCACCGCTGAGCTACGGGCAGTCTTTCTCGGGCAGTCCGATAATCATAGGATTTTCGGCCCTTCCACACTTGTCACACTTGAATAGGTTCCAGAGGTGTCTGCTCCCAGGCTTGCAGACTACTGGACGATTGCATGTACATCCGACCGCATCACCTAATCAGCGCTCTTCATGGAGTCAGCGGAATCGACAGTTGCCGTCTGGTCGGGTCCTGATAAGAGCACATCCTCGGTGGCTTGCGCGAGCTTTCCGACACCCGGACCTGGGCCGTCCCTGGGTGTTTGACTCACCCCTCCCTCCACTTCCGCAGGTGCGGACTTCTGCTTTATAGTCACAAGTGATTTTTCCTGAGAACCTGTTCGAGTGTCGCGAATATTCTTCTCCGCTCCATCTCGCGAGGCGAAAGGCGTGCCTTTGTCGGAAGTTCCCCTCACCGAGACAGCTCTGGGCTTCAGGATCGGCAGCTTCACGTAGTCCATCATTTTTACGACACCTGATTTTTTGCCCGATTCGACGCCGACCGTCTTCAATGCTATCTTGGACGTCAGCTGACTGCCCGATAATGGCTTAAATGAACTGAGTTGGGAGAGTACCCTTCGGACTCGTTGACGCTGGATTTCGAGAGCTTCTTTCCGGACATTGTGCAGGAACAATCTGCTCAAGAGGAAAGCTCCATAGAAGATGATCAGTCCTCCCCCAGTGTACTTGAGAAATGTTTTCAAAGGTTTGCTTATTTCTCCAACCAAGAAGATGAACATTCTCTTCAAGAGGCACCATGGCCAAGATATTATATACAGCGCCCAATCACGAGTTGAATGACGGCTCATCTCCCATGAAGTTTCATTGCACACCTGGTATTCCACCTGCGAGCGATCAAGCCACTGGAGAGGTGTTCCATCGCCTCGAACTCCTGTCAAACCCGCCCGATTATCGAGCTCGCGCATTTTACGCAGGTCCAGCTTCATCATCCGATTCGAGACGTCGTGTCAGTTCGTAGGGGACGTCAGATGGCTCGGAAGTACCTTCCCATGGGGAACATGTCAATGGCCCGAGAAAAGCACAGGCGCCGCTCCGAAAACGAACTTCGTTGTATTTCCATCAGCTGAATGAGCTTTCATGGAATTCACATTCAATATGCTGACTCAAAAACTCACTCAGTACACAGCCGAGTTGGTCCATGTATTTAGTTTGGGTGGATCGAAACCTGTGTGGGAGCCTGTCGAGATTGTAGAACTCCTCATCTTTCCGGGCGATGGAGCCTCGAGCATCCCTCTGAGCGATTTGATGGACGCTCCCCTCCCCCCCGTGAAGTACTATCGATCACTTCGGTTTGGTGTTTGGTCCTCGCAGGAAAAAGAGCGGCGCGGAAACCATGATTTCCAATTCGACATGGCCGACTGGAGGCAATAGAGGACACAGATCGTAGCAAAGAGTGAATTTTAAAGTCGGAGACGCCCGTCAATAGAGGCGAGCTGCGTGTTGAACTCGATCCTGCCCTCGCGTAGGTTGATCAATTTCCATTTTATTGACGAGGAGCCGAGTCACGCTCCAGCGTGCCAACGAATCTGCAGTCCAAGCCTCCCGTGCTGAATGCTTTGCATCGAATCTTTCAAGATCCCGACCTTGACCCTTCATGGCCACAAGCCACCACGGATGCTTCCAATGGACCAAGCAGTTCCGGCGATGGAGTAATTCTCAGAGCCCCTCTCGTGAACACAGTACCCGGGTCCACGTTGCTACATCGACTTCCTCAGAAAAACTCAATGATCCTTAGAGCATATCTGTAGTACAGTTCAGAAGTTATGATCTATGAGCCAGTCAGAACCAAGGGCCCAAAGGCGAGCTTTCAAGGTTCGAAGCTCTGGCACTGAGCGAGGAATCATTACTCTCAGCCACCTGTGAGAGTTCGAGGAAGTGTTTGACGCTCGGCGCGCCTCCGATTCTGAAGCACATCCTCATCGGAAAAAATTGCTTGTCCTGTGTTGTAGCATCGACTCAATAAGAAGCATAAAGCATCCTGGCTGATGACGAGTTTATTAGGGATGATTGCATAGATTGGATACCTACGTAGTATACAGAGGGTCGTAGCGAAGTTATTCTTTCCGAACGACCTTGAGATATTTGGTGCTCCTCGCAGTGGCGAAGGATGGCCCGTCAAGACTCACTAGACATCGGTAGTTCCCTGAAGTTTCTAGCTCGACTCGTTTGAGCACGAGCTTGTTATAAGCCGTGAGCTTCCTCTGGAAACGACCGGATGAAAGCAAAATTGAGCAACTCAAAAGAATACACTGAGAGATCGATAATCTCTGAATAATGGACAAATCGAGGGTTAGAGATCGTTCAAAAAGGCGTACATCGACGTTGATGCCGGGTAGATCCAAAACTTTAAGTGGGGGCTGATCAGCGGGAGTGGCAGTGACGAAGAGCTGTTCATCTTTGAACCATTTGATCGAATAAACTTGTTCATCGCTGGCCAATTCAAACGTGCACGCCATCTTCACCTCGGACCCGACTACTGGGTCTTGAGGGAGGGTCAGATGCGCGGCCGATAAACAATTACCTGGAACGCATCAAACCTTCTCTTAGCGAGTTCCGATTGAGCAAGGGCTCAAGGATGTCTCAGAGTCTTCGGGAGATCGCTATCCGGTCTCCGAGCGATTTTTTTCGGCGCAGAAACTGCGGAAATGTCTCTCCGTGGGGGTGGACTATAACAATCCTCGCACTCACCGACGGCAAATGACGCGGCGAACACTGCTACCACCGACAGCATGGTTTACGTGAAAAGTGGGAACCCTAGTGACCAGGTTGAGCGTACACCAGATTGTGAGCCGTTTGGAAGATTACGGTGAACGTCATGGAAAGGGGGATTCCTCTCGCGAAAGGCCCTCGGTAAGCCAATGAGGTTGATTCGTCGCGAGAACGTAGGAGGTAAATGTGTGAGCGAGAGATAGACGATCCCGTAAACAGCGTCATTGCCATCGCTACGTACGTACTTGACCTGCGAATCTCGAAAGGATAATGAGTCGTGGAGCCATCCCACGCTTGTTTACTATTTTGTGTCTCTCATAGGTCCGATATTGTTTGCTCGTTTGAGCTTCTTCGCTTAACGGCTCTGATAGGTGTGAATTCGATCTTCTCTGCGACAAACCTGAGGATCCCTCAGCGTACGTATTCACCTGGATTCGATAATCGCACCGTCGCGCGAGATGATTATAGCCCGGCAGAAGTGATCGGAGACGTCGAGCTTGTCAGAATGTTGTCCGCACGAAAAACCGGGGGAATTACGGCCGACCTATAATCTGAGCTCCGAACAGACTCATCGATGGGCGAACGAACTCCTCAGGTCAAGCATCTTCTACAGTGAGGTGATACATCGGTCCCACCGGGGGCGGTGCACGTGGCTATCCTCCAATGTCGATGGATAAGTGCCATTTCCGCTGGTTTCTCATTCTTCGGTTCGAATATCTCGGAGAATGAGAGAACCAGCCTCTTTCAGCCCGCGCTGGAATTCCCATCCTCGAGAGCTCAGATGGGGAATATCGATTCCGCAGGAGCAGAATCGTGGCTTTGCCCTAAAAGGCGAGTGCGGGAATCACGAGCTGAAGAATCTCCTCGCCTCCTTCCCTGGAGTCCAATCCATGCGACTGTCAGGCGATTTTAGGTGGTCTCGTGGATAAGAACTTTGTGCTCGATCGGGCAGCGCGCGAGCGGGGAATAAAGTGAAGAAGTAGTAGCGAGAAAAGAAATCGCCATGAATTATATACGAGTCGTTTACCCGGCTACGAGGGTGAATGCGGTGCTTGTGTTACGAGGCTCCAGGAGCTGTCGTACCCTAGGGATGCACTATAAGGAACGCGTTTGTATCGGAATGCACTTTCCGATACAACAACTTCGATTGCGGCCGCTGCTACCTCTACGAGGGAAGAAGCAGGAGGACGTCGACGACGACTGCAACAACGACGGGCGGCGCACGAGAAGGAGAACGTATTCCAAGAGCAATAAAAAAAGTGAAATACTCGGAAGCTCTCCTGAACGTCTGTTCTAGCACGATGAGCCGGTCGGCGCGGCCTCATGAACGTGGCCGACGTCGAGGCTATGAATATCGAAAAGTTCGCGATACTTCCGAAAGTTTTCCTCGTGAAACGTTTCCGCTCGGACGTGAGAGCAGCTTACGTCTGATCTAGGATCGATTTCGGTACAATATCAGTACCGATAGTTGAGGTACATCATTGCCGCTTTCGCAATATTCTTCGTGCTGTGGCGAGTCTCACAATAGCGAGATTTCTACCGGAACAACCGTCGGTTGACGAATAGCTTGCCAGTCTACACGCGAACGGGAAACAACAAAGTCGTTTGGCCTCACAAGAGGCGCCGAAGCTTCCCGACGACTACGTGCATTCTATTCCTGAAGTCAAGATCTTTGATCGACCTGTCGATGTATTGGCTTGTCTCGGTTTATTGACCACTGTACCGATTGTCACAACGCAGAAATCAACTTTTATTCACGACCTACTGCAAAACGAAGCGCCAACAGACGATGTATATATTCATCACATCACGTTTGTACAACGCGGGGAAGAATCTCAGAGAGTCGCGGAATGAACAAAAAAGGGTGTTCCGGAACACCCTTTATACGGAATTATTCCTTGTCGACTCTTCCTGATCTTCCATAATCCTAGGAATTCCACTCAACATTTGGACGGTCATATTTTAAATATTGAATAGTGCTCTCGTTATGTTTGCCCCTGACTAAGATTGTACTCTGCACAAATCGATCTTGTGGTCGCTCGAAACAGAAATGAAGAAGGGACCCTCCTGACCTGGTAAGAAAGTCGAAGGTATCAAATTGTATTTGCCCGCCGGAACGTCCGTCAACTCAAGTACGGTGAACCCGCTCCGATAACTGCCTGAGCTGTGCCGCGGGAACGTGTGCAACGGAACTCTATCGAGAGCAAACGGAACGACTTCGAAACCGATCGTGTATTGTTTTGGGCCTTTGAGCGTTATAAGTAGGTGGTTCCGGTCGTGTGGACTCTGCATGTCGAAGCGGTAGACGGGGTTCTTGCCGTAGGTCAGAGGATGGTTGGGACACCCTCCTGCAGTTGTTGGAGTCCACGATCCTCTCTTGTCCTCTTTCGTGAATCTGCGAGAGAAACCTCTTGAGTTATTCCTGTGTTGTTCTTCTGTAAACAGTTCTGCAAAATGAATGATCTCGTTGCGGTGGTCCCTCCATCGGAGAGTGCTCCTCCCGTGCATCGAACTCACCGATAGGGGTTTTCAATCTTCCTCAATGTGAAGGGCACCGTTGAATACGCACGAATCGTGTAATAAATAGTTGTACTCTTATTGTACTGAGACACAACTAGAGTATAATTGGTTTCCGAATCTGGTTTGAGCAGAATCTTCACGAGATAATGCGGGCTGTTGACCCTGTCACCGTCGATGTAAGGCGGCGGATCGTCTGCAAAAAACGGAATCCTGTCTCTTAGCACTGGGTGGAGATGCTTCCCGGAAGAAGAAAAACCATCCCGAGAGAGACTATCGCTCGTGTCTGGCGGAGGATCGAACTTACAGGGCAGGTACACTTTCTTCCCGCCTTTGTAGACGATCAAGGCGATGTACTCCTTGTTGTCAGCGAAGTCCTCGATATCAGTGATGTGCCTCGTCAAGAGCACCCACACCGCGCCCCCAGCTTGACTGACGTTCAGCGCATACTGCGGATTCTCGCCAATGTTGAAAAGCGCCTTCGCTGGTCCAACACCGCCATTCCACATATCGTGCGTACACGACGTGAATTGGAACATCCCAGGTCTCCAGCTAAGGTAGAACACGTCGAATGCCCTGAGGATTGAGTCGTAGTCTATCCAGAAGACCCCATTGTCGAATTGCTGAGCGTTCTTGGGGTCGTACTTGAGCTTTATCCGAAGCTCTTTCGTCCACGACACGAGATCCCGATCCGAATACTTGCCCTTCCATCGCATATGGCTCCAGGGATTTTTCAATAGGAACAAGCGTCGGCCCTAGAACAATCGAGGGACTGATTTCCGCCTATCTCGACTATGATATCCGCATATCTCTGCATGCTTTCGATTCGTCGCTCACATCAACTTGTACGACGTTGAGCACCGCGTAGGCATGACAATTAGCGAGCCCGGTTTCCTCTTCCCGCTCGGGGCTCATTTTTCCTGTCGCGAGAGTCATGAGAACATCGCCCTTGGTGTGACGATCGATGATTTTGTTGAATAGCTTCTCTTGATCGAAAGTGGGCTCGCTGAGGCGGATTGGTTCCCGATCAGGAATCCACCCAGTCAGCGCATGGAGATCGACACCCTGAAATGATGAGCTCCTTGTTTCTCAGGGGAATCTACGCAGGAAACTCGTCAAGTTATTTCTCGATTCTCCGCTCCATGATTCAATGGCAGGGTTCTCATCGAGCTCACCGAATTCGACCCGGGGAAGTCGTACCCGCCCATGACTTTGAGATAAGCCTTCTCTAACAATGAGACCCAGAACTCGTTTTTGTTCTGACTATAGCTGCACAAGAGCTCGTTCCGTTTCCCTAGTGGTAGTCTGTCGTCGAGAGTCACTTTCCGAGGGACTCCGTTGAAGTGCAGCTTCACAACGTACTTGCCACACGGGTTATATACAGGTTTCCCGAATCGATTCTTAGGATAAATGATGCTGGAAGCAGAAGTCGTTGAGAATCCATTATCTCCTGCAGGACATCAGAGTCGTATTGATGAATGACGGAGATCCCACTCACTCAGTGACCAGTCTCTTTTGGAATTGCTTCTCGTACAGAGCACACACAGTGATCGAAGATACGAAAGAACAATCCGATACGCAGGTCTGTTTGATGCACATCGGGTCGATCTCGTCGATCAGTACAGGATCCTCGACCAAGCCACTGGGTCGAACCCACTCTTTGAACATCGAGCGTTGTTTCGGAGATAGCAGAAGCACTCCATCCTTGTCCTCGAAGGCAGAGGCCATACCGAACTTCACGTTAGTGTCGGAACCTTCGGAAAAGAAAGATACGTTCGAATCCATCCTTGGTTCCGGGAAGGTGTAATTGGGGGCTGTCTCGAGAAGTTTTTTTCAATCCTTCGAAACGGATTCTATTGGACAGGGGAAACGGCGTACCCAGGAAAGGTCCGTATTCTCTGAAATTTATTATCGATGTTCGGGCGAGGACGTCGAGCTCCCATTCAGTATACTTGTCCCCGTCTGTGACTTCTCGATGGGGTCTCTGCGCCAAACTTGGCAATGATGGATAGATTGGAGGCACTTCCACATCAACGGCGGCCGGAGCGGAGGGCGCCGTCCTGAAACAGAGATGAATTCGAAAATCGAGTTCTGGTGCGCGAAGAAAATCGATCGGTGATCAATAACTGTTGAGTGCGCGTACTCTGATTCGATGATTTTCTTCTTTTCCTTTAAAGTTTCCGCCCGTTCGAGAGCTCGTGATGCCACACGGAACAACTTCTCTTGTAGATCTTTATCGGGGGTGATTGATTTCGCCAGGAGACACAGCTCGATTGCCTCTCCTGCTCGATGCAGAGAATAATGTTTCAGCTTGATCGTATGCTCTGAAGACATGATGGAATGGAATAGAGGGAAATCTTTCGAGATACTGATGGCTCGGCCATCCTCACCGTAAAGAACGAGCGCTTCATCTATCTCGTCCTTGTTGTCGAGCTCCAGGGCCTGCGTCAGCAGAAATCGGGCCATGTTCAGGTCCATAGCTTCAGGAACCTGTTGCGGTCTGTTCTCCTGGCTCTTCTGCTCTGCTACCTGTGCTTCGAGTGCATCCGCTCGATCGAGGTAATCCTTAACTTTTTTTAACACGTTCGTCTGTCCCCCAGAATTTTGACACGCTCGCAGCAAAATCTTCCCCGCATCCTACGGAAGAAGCTGGACATTAGATGCGGTAAAGAAGAGCATCGCAGTGAGGGATTCGGCAAGTCACTATTCAAGGTCGTAGTATCAGAGCATCCCCCGTGGACTCCTCCCGTGAACTTACCCTGTAGTAGAGAATAGCCGGTGCGAACTCTCCTCTCTGGTCGTACTCGACCGCGAGTTCTGCCAGCTCTGCGGCGTTCTTCGTCAGCTCAGCTCTCTGTCTTTCCTTCTCGTCATTGTCTGGATCGTCAGACATGGTGTGTTTGACGAATCTGCTTTATGAACCGAGAAAAATCGTCTCATTCCTTACTCCATTGGAAAACGGTCTCCCCAACAGCTGACGTCAGTTTCGAGCTCGCTGAGCAAGACTACAGCCGGACTCGATTCCGGGTTGAATCACGCGGGGACCTCGAGAAATAGTTTTACGTGGGCTCCATCCACGGGAGCAACCTGGCTGCAAGCTCAGGGATTCATTCGACAAGACTGACAGAATAGTCGAACGCATGAATCAATGGACAGTGAAACCCCAAGCAGACGATAGGACGATTGGTTTGGAAAATGACATTCGCCTGCCTTTCCAGCAGGAACTGCGGGGGAATGTCCAGAAGAACTTCACCGAGTCAATGCATAAGTCGGTTCGGCGTTGGGCAATGACTCATCCGCGAACGAGGATGTCAAAGTCTGTCAACTCAGTTATACTTTGCTAGGATTTCGAACGTCAGGAGACTTGATTCTCCCAGCTCCTAATCTGGGCTCGACACTCCAGATCCAGATGACGACGACCGTATTTGATGGTCAAGCCCGAAAACTCACCGATTCGATAAATTGTCGCACAAAAAGAATCAATATTATCGCAAACAGATCGTTCTCAATATTTCAGGCTGCCTACTCCGGTTGGAACGGTCGCTCTCCCACCGCCATGCAATGATCATTGCTGGCGAGGGGAGAGAGAGTTTCGGAGGGATGGTGTGGCTTAGAAAATGGCGCCCACCACAACGTTATTCGTATACACACACCGCTAACTCATTGTGTCTGGTTTCGGTCGATTCCGGCCCTGTGAGAACGGGTCCCGTGTCTTAATTCCTCGAAGCCAACGATAATTCAGTGTCAACGTCGTTCTTCGCCGCGCCGGGGAATTATTCGAGCCTCGGAGATCTTGGTAAGTCTCGATTTGCTCCCACTCCTAGAATTCTGGCAGACTTCTGTCTTCCTCCGCTCGTTCGCCGGTCGAGAGTCGAGACTCTGACAGAATTACCGGAAAAAGAAATAACGAATTTTTTCTTCGCGCCGCCCCCGGATTGGATCCGTTTTCCTCCGGTGGCAACGTGACACCCTCGAGTCGAGTGAGAGATTCTTCGGAGCTCAGCCAGGTGGCGCTTCTCAGTACTTCAGCGCGTCTCTCGCTCTATTGAGTTCGGAGTCCAAAGCAGCATTCTCACTCCTCGATGTATTCGCAGAACCTCACTCCCGCATCGATTTCTGTTTCCAATCGAGTTCTCATCGATTGCTATTAGTTCTGAGTTATTTTCCGTAGCCGGCTCTGAGATCCAATTCTGGCAGGTAGCTGAAAACCACCTCGTCGGAGGTAAGGAAATGACTTCGATTGCTTCGGAGTGTGGACCGCAGTCTCCGGAGCTGACTTCCGACGAGTTAGATTTTCAATCGAGTCTTCGAGTGCTCTAGTGATGGTCGAACCGCTTCGAATGAATGATGAATTGCAGTCACGTGCTCCGGATTGGTGATATGTGATCTTTGAATGATCGAGTCGCAGCATATGTTCGGAGCAAAGCGTTGATGAGCTCCGCCAGCCCCCCTGGGGATCTGGGTCTTTGCGGCTCTGCCGACGCCCCGGGGGAGCTCATGTTCGTCTTCGTATTTTACATCGAGGGGGTTTCGTAGACAACTTCCCCCCTTGAAGTAAATCGTAGATGAAAAACGGCAGTTATCGACCCCGCTCTGACGATACTCAGCTGCGAGCGGAGCTCTCCTCTGGCTGCTTTTAGGTCGTAGAAAATTCCGAGGGGTCTCGCGAGTAATCAGTGTGTGACGAGAACATTTCTTCTTTGTTGCAGGCATCGGAAGCGAAGCCAGAATTTCGATCAATATGAGTTCGGAAGACAAGAAGGTGAACAAGAAATCTAACAAACAGAGATAACCGATTAACAGCTCCAAACCCTCCTCGTTGCTCTCGACATTCATTCGCAATCTTCTGCGATCCAATAATCTCGGAGATTGATCCCAAAAAGTCTGTCTGCGATCGATAAGCTCTTGCTCAGGAGGAACGATGGGAGATGAGGACTGCGAGGAACGCGAGCGTAACAAGCTAGGTAGATGTTGTACAGCCCCTTGGTGTAAAGTTCGCTACGGAACAAACGGTGAAACGTCGTTTTTCCGAATACCCACTGATCCTGAACGGTAAAGCGAGTAGCTAGTCACGATTATTCCTTCCTTGTTCCCCTTTTGTTGCGAGTCTATCGAATTTCGATAAGCCCCTCTCGACTCGAATCAGATGTAAGGAGAATTTCGCGGGTATTATTCTGCGGGAAAAACAAAATCTCAACTATACTTCTCAGTTGTCGTAAGTGGATCGATTACGTGAACCGACCAGAGTTGGCTTACCACTCGCCGGAGCATCTTCACAACAACTTTCGGCTGTGCGCTTACCATTTTCGCGACGCCGACTATGTGTCCGTAGGAAATCACGCCCGACTGAAGAAGACCGCCGTACCGTCGGTGCCCCCGCCAGCGGACTGGACTCGGAAATCAGTTGCTCACCAACAAGTCTCCAAGGTGGCATGATGCGTGATTTTCACGCATCGACAATACTTCATAGATTTATTGCTGAGTTCTGATTTTCCGATCGGTCGTCGTGTTTAGACGACATCGTTTGCACAGGAGTTCCGTGCGATGCTTCCGAGAATGTTGGTCACCTGCGGCTCGGCGAAGGCGCGAGTCGAACTTTTCTCCTTTGTCTTAACCGCTTGTTCCGAGGAAAACCGTTCCCCCTCATTTCGGCATACTTAGCATGCGGCCTTGACACATCTAATATTTTTCGGCAATTCTGAATATGGTAGAGGAATATTCATGTCGTCATACAGCATGTTTCTAGCGGGAGAAACTAAGATTTTCGGAAATTTTCAGCCTCAACCGAAAGGATTCGACCGGGGCCTTGAACCAGAGCAGATTCTTGGCGTAACGAATGCTTCTGGAGAGATGATGTTCCTGATTCAATGGAAAGGCGCTGAGGAGGCCGATTTCGTCAAGGCTTCAGAGTGCAACGTCAGATACCCGCAGATGGTGATTTCCTTCTATCAGAAACGACTCGTGTTCGAGTACTAGTCGAATGATAATCTACCGTGATCATGTGCTTATATCGATCATAATCTTTCAACTCGGTAGTTTGACCTTGTACAAAGTCTTGTTCAGTCCTCATGCTGTACTCCTCTCGATGAATCATCATACCCAATAAAAGATGCTCGCGAATAGATCGTGATTTTTGGAATTCGAGACTTCTTCATTGGAAACAGAGACGGCAGCACAATCGACACGGCAGTTCGACACGGAGATGGAAAGAAGTACTCGAAGCGAAAAGTCTCCGGTGGCTCCCCGGTGGATTCTTCAAATGTCTAGAGTTCCATATTACAAAGTACACATTAGTGGATTCCGGTCATCTTGCCCGGAAGCTCCTCTAAAGAGTTTATACACTTGTCCATCAATAGATTTCGACCATTCCCGTTCGAATCAGAAATGATAAGTGAGACCCTCAATTTCTGCAAGGTCTAGTTGGATTTGATGAACAGTCGTCCCGATCTTCCTTGCCACTTCTGCCTTCTCGTTGAAGTTGAGGTCCTGCAGAAAATAGTATCCGGAATCAATCTCCGAACGATACTCTCGATGGGAAACCCCCTTCCGCCTCCGTGGGGCTCTATTCAATGATGAAGAGTTTCTCAAGACCTACCATGAAGACGTTGATGAGATCGCCATCCACAATATTCTTCTGTGGATTACTCAAGGCTCTGACATCAGTTTGCATGATGCGGAAAGCCTTTGGGTTGAGACCTCCCACGTGCTGGCAATATGAGTTCAGGACGTTTTGAAGCATCAACAAACGTCTGTAGGTTTTTTCCGAGATCGGGAGCAGATAGCCGAAGGCGCCGTCGAGGGAAGCTATAAAATACCGAAATTATTCCATCGGATATGACGTCACGCGTTGACGAAACTAATTTGAAATAGAAGGTGGAGCTTCGATTATTGTCATCTTGATAATGAGCTCCCTCTTTTCCACCTACCGTAAAGGGTCACATGCCGAGCTTCCAAATCGCTGAGCAGCCTTCGTTCGCTTCGCGGAACCTCGGCCAGTCTGCATCGGATTCGGAACATGGTGTTGATCCGCGACCCGATATTGAAGTCTCCTCGCCGTATCAAGCGTTGACCACCGAATGTTTCTCTGTTCTCGGGCTGATACATATACACCAGGATGTTGCACTGAGCGTCGGTAGCGAGGAAAGCCATCTGGGAGTTGTCGACCAAGTATTCTATTGAATAAATCTGAACGGGTTTCGTGTCCTTGGACACAACAGCGAGGGTCTTCGATTCCTCCTGGTATCGGAGGAGCGTTATACTCTTGTGAACATCTCCGATCAAGATGAAGCTTTTGATAGAGATCGCGCTAAGTATGTAGATTTGTGTATCCAGGAAAGCCATCCCCACGAGGTCGTTATCCTTCAACTGGAAGAGGAATAGTTTCTGACCAACAGCTGCCATGAGGTGTCCTTTGACGGAGCACAGGGCAGTGACGGGGGCGTTCTGAGGTTTCGAGAGGATGGTTTTGACTTTGCTCCGGGTGAGAGGCTGTCCTGGTTCGGGTACTACTTCGATAATGTCTATGAGCAAAATCCTTCCTTTGGCAGTGATGTCTTCACCGAAATTATGGATCGTGCCGACGGCTATCAGGCCTTTCTCTCCGCTAGTGGTGCCCTCCGAGGCTATCATCACGTTCTTAACGCAGGTGATCTTCTCCCAGTCCTCCATGGGCATCCGCGTGTTGGGAATAGCTTCCCAAGAAACAGGTGACCACAGTTCGAGCGCGAATTTATCCACCGTGGGTGGAATGAATCGGCTGCTCTCTCGTTCGATCGGCTCGAACTCTTTGTCTTCGTTGGCCAGCTTGGGCACACATGTTGCGGTTTCCTCCTTCGACGTGGCGACGCAATACGTTCTGGAGTCCACATGATAATTCACTGAGTGCGGGGTCTCATATATCGGAATCTTACGCATGGGCCACGGCGCGTCATAGTTGAGATAGCTCGGCAAGGCGCAGATTCTCAGTTCACCATATTTGTTGAAGAACAGGAAGCCTTTCTCACAGTTGACGTTATGGAATGTCGCGAATGAGTATATTCGCCCGTCATTGAGCATCGGATGAGCTCTCAATTCTCCCCGTGCCGTCAGGAAAATCCAATGCGGACGTCTACCGCAAACGAAAACGCCATTGTAACCACAGACGTCCTGGAAGGCTCGAATCCACCGTAAACTAAGCGTGGGATCGCCTTCTTTCTGTTTGTACACGCGTCTTGGCTCCATGGTGACCGCGTGTTGGAGCCTCCTGAACTGCAACTTCAAGTGACCTTCTTTCTGGTTGACGAAGGGATACGCCTCGTATATATGGAGTTCCGAGTCCACTCTCGCGAACAGGAGCGGTCGTGACTGGTGCATACCGAGTGCACAAACGAAGATCTCCATGACCTTTGGCAGTTGAGCCTCGCTCGTCGAAGCGGACGTCGTTTGCCCGGTCGCGGCGGCGTTCTGCAGGATCTTGTTACAAAGAGGGAAATTCTTCACAAAGTACCGTAATTTGTAATCTGGGAACGAATAGATCTCGAGCGCTCCGTTCTCCCTCGCGAGGAAAACCCAGAACGTCGGCTCCACGGGAGCGATTTTCCGCACGTTTTCTTCATAATCTTCCTCCTCGGCTGTATCTTTCGTTTGAGTTGTCGGAACTATGTTTGCAGCATTCAAACCCCCTGCGACAAGATCCTTGATGTCCACGGAGCTGCCGTATAGGAGCTCGTCCTCGTCGTCGAAATCTGCGCTACGCAAGACTTTCTTCGCAACTTCGGTTTTGACTTTGGTTTTTGCTTCTGTTTTCGGTTTCGCAATGTCTTCGGGCTTCTGGATTTTCGTGACGAAGAGCCCGGAAACGTCTTTATAAATGCACAGCGCTGTAATTTTTGACTTCGCTCCGGGAAATTGAGGTTTCAGGACAGAAAGCTTGTACCTGCAAGGAACGCATAGAGCGTGAGCATCTAAGAGATCGGGCACCCTCGAGAATTCAAGACGGATTCCGGAAAGAAACTCGAAACATCGGTGATTGCTTATGCCTCCGATTTCGCCCGTACTCACCCTGTTGTGTCGTCGCCCCTCAAAGTCAATTGTATCACAAGTCCGTCCTGAGACATAACAAGAACGTGGAGATCAGCAATCGATGCGGACACCAGAGGGCTTCCGACATCAATTGGAACTTGTTGAAGCTGCTTGACACCCTCCAGGAGCCGTACGCTATTCGGGCAAACCTGGATAATGTACCGTCCGTCGGCTAGATTCCCGGCGAAAATCGTCGGGGACTGTGTGCAGAAGCCGCTGTGATCCAACTCATTGATCTCTTGTCCTGTTTGCAAAATCTGTGGAAAAAAAAGAAGCGATAGGATACTTCTTAGAAGGCGCGGCGTGGATCTTCCCGATTGGTACCTATATGAAATAGCGAAGCGGGAGGGACGCCGGATTTCATGTCGGTAAAAGAGTGGAAAGCGAGCAGAAAAGCTCAAATTACCATAGTTGAGTCGGGTCGGGAAAGTATCAGGAACTGGTGGGAATCTTCATCGACGTCCGGTGATCTTGTGGAGCTGCTCCTCACGGTCCACAGATCCGTGCAGCCCGGCAGTTCGAATGTCGTTATGACTTGGGGTCGCACCGTGCGTTGTAGGACGCAAAGGGCTCCGCTGCGTTCATGACCACAGGCAGCAAAAATTTCAACCTCTGTGTCCGTTTTCATAGAGAGCTCACTCTGGAATGCTGGCTCGCCCATGGCCACCTTCGTGACAGGTCCTAGAGTCTGTAAGCGGTCGGTGACTTCGAGCTTATAGCAGGTTGTGCCGAGACAGTCGGCTTCGCAGTTTTGATTATATACACGGAGCTCGTGAAGATCCTTGATCAGATTGACATTCGACGCCGCCCATTCATCGATATTGTCGGGATCGGTCGGCGGCACGTCGGAATCTTGCGCGGTAGCGGCGGCGGCATCGGCGATCTCCTCCTCTGGTGCCGCTCCGACTTCGGGCTGTGGAACCTCCTCTTCTTGATCGGCTTTGAGTCTCTTGGCTTTGGGCTCCTCAGTTTGGCTCTCGGTCTCTTCTGGAACTTCTTTGTCCACGCCCGGGACATCGTCCTCTTCCTCTATCTCTTCCTCTTTCTCGTCTGGCTCTTCTTTAGATTCCGATTCCTCTTTCGCGTCCTCTTCTTCTTCCTTATGGTTCTCTTCGATGATTGGTTCGACTTCAACTCTGTCCATCTCTGTGTAGCGCAAGAGGAGCGAGTTTCCTATCCTTGAGCCCACGAACAGATAACCGGGTTCGCACAAGGAAATGCAAGTGGCGACAGTTGTCGTCGCTATCTTCTTGAACTCGAACTGATTGATCGATCTCATCCCGTCCGTGAATAAGCTCAGAACGTATAGGTCGCCGTTGGCAACGCTCAATAGAATTTTTGTTTCGGAGAGGAATTCGCAGCGACAGCAATCGAGGGTCAGAGGGGGTCCCGCTTGGTCCTTCAGCGGAAAGCTCGTGCTGCATTCGGTGAAACAGTTGAGCGATACACCGTAGGCTGGAACTGACTGATTCAAATACAGCAGGGCGTTCACGGAGAGAATAAGGACGCCTCCGATAGGTTTGGGCACGGGGAGCACTTTGAACGAGTTGAACGGAAGACCGCTGAACGACCAGACGGGGGGATGGACTCTTTGGTAAACGTTCAATGAGAGAGCCATTATAGAGCAAGTATCCTGACGGATGGCAACTCGACTGCAAGAAAATAGCTGGTCAAAATCGATGGCGAAGGCGGGGTGCCTTTTATGCATAAAAATCATTCCCGTAGCTCAGGGAGGAGGTTCCTCAAGACGTACCCAGTCCAGGTCCGGATCGGCTCGTACAGTAGCAGCAGCGTCGGCTCGTAGTACCCGTTGAGGAAAGTCATGTCGTGAATGTTGTTGACACCTTTCTCCTCGTCCAAATCTATTAATCTGATTGTGTAGTACTCCAAGAAACCCGATGTGTTTGTTTGGGTGCTTTTGGAAGACGCAATCGGGTCGGAGAGATCGGTGGCATCTTTTTTCACAAAAGGAATGATCGCCAGATGTTTTCCGTAGATTAGCACGGCTGCACAACGATTCAAAGGATCAACTTTGATGAGAGTGTTACCAACGAAATTATAGAAACCCTCCTGTGGAGCAAAAAAATTGAATTAGATAATCGATCGATGGCCTTCGCGCCGAATCGAAGAAAATCGCCCTCTGTGTGGCTGTAGATAAGGGAACGAGGTCAGTGGGGACGGGGCAAACCTTGTATTCTTCTTTCTCGAGACTCCGGATAGCGAGCGTCTGCAGCTCATGAGTTGCAGGGTCGTACTCGACGAGACTGATTTTCGTTTCTTTGAACACGAATAGTAGGGAATCCCTGCTGGCGTTCAGCCGGATCTTCTCCATTCCGGAAATGTTCCCGAAGCAATTGAAGGTCTGTTGGTGCTCCAGTTTTGCCTTGTCGTCTGTTTCGTTGAGGCCATCGCAAACCAACCGGTACACCTTGGAGTGATGAGATCTTAGCAGGGGTCTCGCTCTTTCATGAAACAGATTAATAGCTTGGCCGAGGGTTAGGGCGAATAGTGCGGATAGTTTCCCAAACTCACCTTGATGACTGTTCCCCCGGCAACGACGAGATTTCTCTCTGCTAAATTATAGAAGTGACAATAGACAGCGAATTCTGCTACCGAAGGTGGCTGTGTCTGCCTGTGATAGGCAAACATAGCACTTGACAGCTTCACATCGTAATGCGCCATCTAAAGGAGAACAAAAAGAAAGATCTTACGAAAAGGTAACAGAAGCTCTCGGAGCAGTTGATTTTTTCCACCGTGATCCGGATGTTCCTCGACTTTCCGCGACGGGGCATGGAGCTTCCACACCTTGCCTGATCACGCGCCCGGAGACGAGACCCGGAGAAATTCTCATGATGTTCGACCATTCTTGTCGAACAGTTCAATTCCGTTCGGATTCCGGAGGAGGATATAAATTCCGATTGCAGATTCGAATCGATGGAGAAAATTCATGGTTTCGACAAACACTCTCCAGAGCTGAATGGAGATGGGGGAATGGAAAGCATTGTCAAATTTACCCTGTTTCAATCGTATCATTCCACAATGAACATAACAATGTTGAGGATCCCCTTCCGTGGGCACTCCGCTGTAAGGAGTCTGGCGCTCCGCGTAAACATCGTGGTGCCGGGTGCTCGTAAACAAAGATCGTGGCTCCCGCGATCATGCCGTCAGATCGATCCGAGCAAATCTCGAGGGCTCACCAGGCGAAAAAAAAGTCACAAATATCGCCGGATACATCCACCGAAGTTTTATGAGCGCTATTCTATCGTTGATAATGTATCTTGGATCCAGTCTGAGAAGTCCAGACAGAGCCGCAGTCTGCTCCGACCTGCTACTGACTCCCGTCGAAAACTGTGACTGGCAGAATCGTACCGGAGATCTCAAATAGGATATATCGTGTGATTGGAAGGGATCTTTGCAAGCTAGCTTTTCTACGACATGGCGACCGCCAAGACAACTTCGGCTGCCCCCGAGAACATACCCAAGGTAAGTTCGAATGGAACCGAGCGCGTTGCGCCATGGCACATGAAGTAGTCAGCACGGAAATTCAGTTGTCTCGGATTTTGGAGCCTATTACTGACAGCGGCTGATTCGCTCGGATAGAATGGAACAATATTGAAGGAGCTAGATTCTGGTACAGCTGCAAGTCGAGCAGGTGCCCGATTCGGCTCTCTAGGTCATAGCTCAATCATTGCTCATTGAATTGATGATACCTACAGTCTTCGAATAACGGAGCAGGAATAGGTGGTCAGCGTTCACTTCAAGGTGTCAGTACTCTTCTGTATACATTGAACGCATTTGCAAAGCAATTCATAGATTCTGGTCCGGAGCAGGGTGTGAACTGAGAGAGGAGCATCCCACATGGGCTCTAGCCGGCCTAACAGGCGAGCGACCCCTCATTTGAGCCGCGGCAGGTACGATATCCGCAGGCTGAGCTCGAGTATTCAATCAGAAAGGCATTCCGCTCATTTGGCATCCCATCGGAATGGAATTTCGCCCGGAGTCTCTTCGACCGATTGACCTGTGCCGACGCTTTGAGGTGCCGATTCGGCGAGAACCGTCTTGAGGTGTCTTTATCTGGATCTACGATTCCCAAAGGAGAGGGAAACCCCGGGAATCTCTCCTTCTATCGGGCTACTGGGAGCGCTAAGGAAGTTATGGGAGTGCGATTCGGAAAGCTTCCACTACAGCGCAAAGGATGCGGATTCGAGATTGGCCTCTGGCAGCTCGGAGAATGAATCCTAGGCGCGATAGGTGTGACAGGAATCGCGGCTCTCGATCCGATGAAGAAATGAATGCGATCTCCAGCCGAGAAGTCGCGATGCCGGTCTTTTACAATGACGACGCTTTATTCTAATCGACAATAACATTTCAGCCGGCTGTACATGAGCTGCCCGTGTCGAAGGTGATCGTGCATCCATTGGTGTTGCTCTCGGTCGTTGATCACTTCAATCGCATGGGAAAGATTGGGAATCAGAAACGAGTCATCGGTGTTCTATTGGGATCCTTGAAATCCAAGGGAATCCTCGACATCTCGAACAGCTTCGCCGGTGAGTTTGTGTCACTTTCTCCCTGGAAAGTAGGGAAATAGTCAAATAATTAAACGAGATTCCAGCGGTCCTACGACGGAAACTGGTCCGTGTCTCGAGCAGGCCTAATTTCCGCTATCGTCTCGCAGTCCCCTTCGATGAAGATGACCGTGACAAATCTGTGTGGTTTCTCGACCACGATTATCTGGAGAACATGTTCGCCATGTTCAAGAAGGTGAACGCCAGAGAACGCATCGTCGGTTGGTATCACACCGGTCCGAAACTCCATCAAAACGACATCGCAATCAACGAGTTGGTGCGTCGCTACTGCCCGAACTCCGTGCTCGTTATCATCGGGGCGAAGCCCAAGGATCTGGGCTTGCCGACCGAGGCTTACATTTCGGTTGAGGAAGTGCACGATGTGAGTGCGGACAGTTTTTTCTTAACACAGCACAAATCTGGCGGACGAGAATATGCAAAACGTACCTCATTCGGGGATTTAATGATTTTCCTGCTTTTCTAGGATGGCACTCCGACGAGCAAAACTTTCGAGCACGTTCCAAGCGAAATCGGCGCAGAGGAAGCCGAGGAGGTCGGTGTGGAACACCTTCTGCGGGACATCAAGGACACCACAGTTGGAACACTCAGCCAGAGGATCACAAACCAGTTCATGAGTCTGAAGGGTCTTCATTCACAAGTGAACGACATCCGAAAATATCTCGACCACGTTGTCGAAGGTCAACTCCCTGTCAACCACACGATCATTTACCAATTGCAAGACATTTTCAATCTGCTTCCCGACGTGTCCACTCAGGAGTTCGTGAAAAGTTTATACGTGAAAACCAATGATCAAATGCTGGTGGTTTATCTTGCTTCAATGGTGAGTCGACCTTCTTGTTCTCCGAAGCTTCGAGTGGCATGATGTATTCATTTGAATTATATTTACTTACTAAAGCTTCAGAGCCATAATTAATGATGTGATTGGATGCAGGTGAGATCTGTGATCGCTTTGCACAATTTGATCAACAATAAGATCACGAATCGGGACGCAGAGAAGAAGGAGAGCGAGAAAGTTGCGTCTCCGAAACGCGACGAGAAGGACAAGGGAGACAAGGATTCGAAGGATGCCAAGGACGCTAAGAAGGACGACAAAACGTCTAAAGACTCTGAAGATTCGAAGTCCAAGAAGAAATGAATTTGCGAAAATGAATTTCTCCAATGAGGAGCACAAGCGGGAATAGAGAATTTCTGAAATATCTCCCTACCGCTCAATATCCTCATGGATATTTATGGATGAGATGGTCGACCATGATATAAAAGATGTACATACATATAGGGGAGGCTTCATCTCTCTCACTCTATGCTTAGCTATGTCCGTGTTCCTTTCGTTCGATAGATTGACCTAATGATATCTGAACCACGCGCGAGGAGAGGAGAACAATATCGAGCGATTCTGGATCACGGGAAGCACGTTTATTCGTGGTTGCATACATTTCTCTCGATCGGGAACCCTGGTCGAATCTCGAGGAGTCTCAAGCTGAGAATTGAATGCTACCTCCTTCGAATAGGACAAGTGAAGCCATCGTCAATGCACGAGCACACGGCTCTCAGAGACTGTGACAAGGTCAAATACGGAGCCCGTCTTCTTCCTGTAGCCTCGGCTGTGAGGTAACAATCACCTCAATCAGGCAACGACTTCTGTTGTAATTCCTTTCTCGGTCACTAGTTGAACCAAAGATCCGTTGACGGGACGTTTGGAAACGTCGTCCGTCCAGCGCAAGAACACGTCTGCCACATACTCCAGGGGAGTCCAAGTTGTCGTATCGGCTTTTGGCATCCACTTTCTGTTCATCGGGGTATCTAGAGTGATCGGGAGTATGGCGTGGACGGTCGCACGCGCTGGCAAGCCTCCTTTCGACGCCGCTAAGGACGACACGAGATGGTGCACTGAGGCTTTGGCCAAACCGTAACCTGGGGAATTTAGGTACATAAAAATGTATGAGACCTTCGTCCCCGCAATAGAGGTAGCTGATTTCGGTTCTCGATTCGGCTGTCAACTTGTCACTCACCAATCATTCCTGGGGTGGCCGTGAGACAAGGCTGAGCGCCGGTGAGCGCGCAAAGACCGCCTTCCTTCAGGAAATTCGCGGAGAGGGATGCAGCGATGACAGAAGTCCAGGTGCTTTGTTTCAACATGAGATCACAGTTTTTGATGAAATCCGCGCTCTTCGCATTGCCTCCAGCCCATCCTCCGGCGACGCACAGAACAGCATCGAGTTTCTCTCCGTTAAGTTTCGTTTTCAATTGCTCGGAAATATCCTCATGCTGCCCAACGAGATCCTTGGCGAAGTCGACGACTATGTTCTCCGAGGCGGCCTCATTTGCTGACCCGTCGATGGAACATACCCACTGCAAATTTTTAGATCAGCTCTAAGCGATGGGAGTCACAATACTCTTCGATAGAGCGTGACTTCAAGGCTCAGTCATGGAGATGGCGATTGTTGATGAGATGAGTAGAAAGGATGGAAGTCTTACGAAGTTCTTGCTTCTGAAAGCGCTGGTTACTACCGAGCCAAGAGCTCCCTTCCCTCCGTAGATCACGACCCGACCAGTCATTTCCTGGAAGTTCAAAATATTCCTCTCTATGTATTTGGGCGGACACGAAGCAAGATCAACTCCCTTGATCTCATTAAACACACTGACTCGCACAGTCTTCTAGATAAGGGAGAGCGATCAAGACGAGATGATTCGCAGCGTCACGAAGAGGTTTGGGGTCGAGAGGCGAATCAGAACAGTTCGCCTACTTCCCGATCAGACTCTGAGGGTTGCTAAGGCGCCCTTCGATCCCTTCCTGGACACTCTTTTGTCCAAAAGTCCTTCGGACTCCACACGTTCTCCCGAGTCGAACTCTGATGCCTATCCATCCACACATCCCTCTGCGCGGACGCTGCAGGTAGAAGCTACGCTCTGGGACTCTGATGTTTGGAGGAGGTGAGCATTATTGGAATACCTGTTTTCGAGACATTTTTCGTCGCTTCGGGAAAGATTGCAGGTCTGGCGGCAGTCCTGTTGTGGAAGGAACCTGATGCTTTTCGAGAATATCAGCCGTAAGGAAAGGGAAAGTCGACTGTAACGAGTAGTTCCACAAATATTTTCGCCCCTTCTCAGCTATCGGATTATATCAAAATAATCTGGATTCATCGCTCGGCCACGACGGGAATCTATGGACGTGAAATCCAGAGTACAAAATAGTTTCTAGCTAATGATGATCCCCGTCTGATATGAATCCTGAGATTCTCTCCGTTCTCGAGTCCGTACTAGGGCCGTCGGGAGAGACTCTCACCTAAAGAACTTCATCAGGAGCTTCCTGAAAGCGTTGCCATGGCAACTTCGAGGAGAACTTCCTACAGAGACCTCTCCTGTTGCTCGTCACAGGGCGAGTTATGGGAGGTTCCTACCCCTCTGGCATCACACTGGTACGCTTGGGGCGAAGGGATTACAACTGGAGCTGAACGGAGTACACCTACCTCCTTACTTTTATTTTCCAGTCATTTAAGATTCATACGATAAATAGAAGTCACATACAAGCATAAATACTCCGCATAAATATGATCTCGGATGTGCATGACTTCACGAGAGCGGTGGCTCAACTTTTCCACTTGATTGCAGGATTGTTGAGAGCTGACTGCGCGAGGAGAGCGGCCGTGGATTCACGGGGCAGCTTCGTCAGCAGATTTTCTAATTCCGTTCTGTTTCTTATTTGTACAAAGCAGTTGACCAGAGATGTCATCGCGCCCACTTTCTTCGCCAATTCCATCCGGTCTTCAACATCATCCACGTAAGTTATATACTTCTCCAAAAGGTCTACAGGTGCCTTGTGCTGGTGTAGAATCACAACGATTTTATCGAAACCGATCGAAGAGCTCAGTTTTTTCTTGCCTAGCCAACTCTTCGATTCCAGGAAACTCTCGATGGCTTCGTAGTTTTGCGTTTCCGCAAATCCAGAGATGCAAGCGTAACTGTACTGCTCAGGCGATAGTTTGAATTCTTGTTTGAGGTAAACAGGCGAGGCGAAATGCGTTTCGGGGTCTTTTGCATGGTATTTCGCACAGTACCTAACCGTGTCGACGAGCGAGGATCCAAGGATAGTTTCATTCACCTGCTCTATCGTAATAGCGTCGCATTCCTGGATCTTGGCCTGCAGCTTCAACAGTTTGAGTTCATCCGCCAACAGCGCTTGCTCCCGACACCCCAAGAAATGAGTGTTGATCGATGTTTCCAGAGCCCGGGTCTTCGCTTTGTTGTCTTCGATTTGGCTTATCACGGAATATCGGTGGCGGGCGGCTTCATCGCTCCGACCGGAGAGCGATAGTTGCTCTATGACTCCTGCGTTCTCGCCGGAGTCCCGGAGGTAACTGACGAGCGCTTTCAGAGCGAGAGGGCGTTGGATTATTTCCTGTTGGAAAAGGCTCGCTTTCAGCGTGTTCCTGAGGAAAAGAACGACGACCTGGATCGCGGATGTGTCGCCGATACTCAATGCTGCTTCGAGAAGCTCCACTTTCTGCTCACGGGAGCGGAATTGCTCCAGGCTGTAGGGCTTTCCCAGAAAAATCGCCTCAGCGGTCTGTTTCGGAGTATTGCCCCTCCCGCTCGACGTCGAAGCGAATTGAGCGACTTCTTTCTCGAGCTTAGGCTTGAAGTGCAGAATTTTCGGTCGTTCTGGTATCGGTCTGCTGCTCACATACATGGTGGGTCCATCTTCTTCGAAATTGAAGCCGCCCTGACCGGAAGTGTTCCAGTACGCGTCGTCCTCGTCCTGTCCTTCCATTGAATCGAGCTGGTGTTGAATTTCACCGAATCTGTAGAGTGGACTCGGAGCACCGAAATCCTCGTCCAATCGGGAGCCGGTCGGCGTCGACGTCCGCGACATCTGAAGTAGTTTCGATTAGAGCCGTGATTCCTCCCGGAACGCCGACGAAACTTATTTCCACGGTTTCTCGTTCGACAATTCAGTCAGTCAAAGAATTTGAGCCCAGTCGATGATACCATATCCAGCCATCAACCAACAATCAGGTTGTGGTAGAGATCATGGGTTCGATCACGGCTTCTGGTCGAGCAGAAAATGAAATCTGCGGTCGATTCGCGCAGAACACAATTTTTCCCGGATTTCTACAGATCCTCATCTAGATATCGAGACTTCGGGCATCTGGGTCGATATACTTTCGCCCCCCTGCCTCCGGATGGTCTCTCCTCAAGGCGAGGAGCTACGGACATTCCGAAAAATCCGTAGCACGTAACAGGTTGTGATACGTTGGTCTCTTAGACAGAGGAGAGCAAACGTAACCGTACAGTCTACCTCGACCGCAAACTTTCAGGAGCTGCCTTCGAATTCCCCTTCGACCTATTCAAGCACGGAACCCACCTCTTACAGAGACGAACGTCTCGGCGAGAATCCAACTAACTCTGACGAGCTGAACAGAGAGCCGCTTTTGACAAACATCTGAAAAGTTTCAGCTAGCAGACGACACAAGTCTGTTGTGACTGCTCTACTACTGCTCTTCGGCACTTCGCCACATATTTCTCTCCGCCAGAGCAGAGTGCCGTGCGCGGCGATCATTGGGGGACCCGGAGCTTCTCCGAGGGATACTGTACTTCCAATCCTCAGCTGGGTGCCCGATTCGCTACGATCTGAGCCCTCGGCGGAACTTCCGTCTACTGGCTCCGAGGCTCTCAGGTCTCGAGATCCGTGCTCGGAGCATATACAGACATCAATACCGAATCCGAGAGTTCACCAATTGGGACCTCCGCGGTGTCCGCAGATCCCATGGAAATGGACGGCGTGCAGCCGTCAGCAGGCAAGGGAGTAAGCTGCGATCGCCATCAGCTTTATTACTTGGCGCCATAGCGTTCGAAATTGTTCCCTCCCGAGAGTGTGTTTTGAACACTGTCGTCTTCTTCGCTCGCTCCCGTCTCATTCGCGTTTGTCGCCGCGAGAACTGCATTACTGACGACGTGTGTTATTCGACGGTGTCTGAGCCTGTGATCACCACACCAGGATTGACCCACGTTTCGAACTCTGAGCGCTTCAATATCTGATTCCGATGTCGGGAGATATCGCCGCGGAGGTGCAGAAAAAATGCACTGTCTCAGAGCAAAAGGCATGTTAACACATTGTTCGATGGCGCTCCCCGGCGCGCTAGCGAAACGACTAGTGACTTCCCTCCGGGTCCACGCGCTCCGTGTTCGGCAGTACAGAAACGTCGCTCGTTTCCCGGTCAGTTTTGACCCTTCTTAGTCGTTTACTCGCTAAGCACCCTCGAACTCATCCGATCTGATCCCCTGTCCGTGTGCTCCGTCCGTTCTGAGAACCCGACCTCTCTGGAGGAATCTCGGACTGTTCCTCATTCTCTCAGATATTCGTTAGCGTCTGACATGAATTATTCCCACGGGTGGTGAGCCTTAATAATTTATCTGCCTCCCTGGCTGATGGGGAAGCCTGACAAAATATTCAATACTTCTATGTGGTCGCAACCCCATATATTTCCAGAGCCCTGACGAAATTTTGGACCTAGTGCATGTAGTCCAGTGAAATAGTTCGATTCAGGTGAAGTATCCTCCTCTGAGAGAATGTGTCTTTCTTTTCAGGCCGTGGGGAGTCCAGAATACATAGAACCCAGATTGAAACTCTGGGAGAAATTCAAGGCGGAGAGTGAGGCTCAGTTCGCAGCGAAAACCCCTGGCGCCATCAAGGTATGCGGCACTGAAGGCATATTCGTTTTTTTTCTATTCGTACAAACTTATTGAAACTATTGCGGAGGAGGATGTACTCCAAGTGCTCCGAGGAGTCGACTGTCGTGTTGGACGCTCCAGTCAGAAATTTCGTTCCGATCCAGGTCACTTTACCCGATGGCAAGATCGTCGAAGCGCAGTCATGGCGTACCACACCGTACGAAATCGCGTGTGGGATCTCCAAGGGTCTGGCGGATAATTGCGTGATCTCGAAAGTCAATGGTGTCCTCTGGGATCTCGACAGACCGCTCGAAGTTGACTGCGATCTCAAGCTGCTCAAGTTCGACGATGCCGAAGGCAAAGAGGTCTACTGGCACTCCACGGCTCACGTGCTCGGTGAAGCCATGGAAAATACGTACCATGGGTGTTTGTGTTATGGACCACCAATCGAGAACGGGTTCTACTACGATATGGCTCTCCCGGAGGGACGACCGGGAGTAGGTCCGTCCGACTTCCCCCATATCGAGAAGCAAATGAATCAGTTCATCAAAGAGAAGCAGCCGTTCGAGCGACTGGAGCTCACCAAGGCTCAACTTCTCGAGATGTTTGCCTACAATCCCTTCAAAGTTCGGATCCTGAACGAGAGAATAACTACACCCTCTACGACAGTGTACCGTTGCGGTTCGCTGATTGATTTGTGTCGTGGTCCCCATGTCCGTAACACCGGAAAGATCAAGGCGTTCCAGTTGACGAAAAGCTCATCGTCGTACTGGGAGGGCAAAGCCGACGCCGAGGCTCTGCAGCGAATCTACGGTATTTCATTCCCGGACAAGAAGCTCCTCAAAGAATGGCAGCACTTCCAGGAGGAGGCTGCTAAGAGAGACCACCGAAAACTCGGCCGAGAGCAGGAGCTTTTCTTCTTCCACGAACTTTCTCCAGGATCGTGTTTCTTCCTACCGAACGGCGCTCACATCTACAATACCCTCGTGGAATTCATCCGCACCGAATACAGGAAACGCGGTTTCAATGAAGTGGTTTCACCGAATATCTACAACGTGAAGCTCTGGGAAACATCTGGCCATTGGCAGCACTACAAGGAGAACATGTTCTCGTTCGACTGCGAGAAAGACACGTACGCTTTGAAACCGATGAATTGTCCCGGTCACTGTATCATGTTCGATGTCAGGAACCGTTCCTGGAGAGAACTGCCCTTGAGACTCGCTGATTTCGGAGTTCTGCACCGAAACGAGCTCAGTGGTACTTTGACCGGCCTCACGAGAGTACGCAGATTCCAGCAAGACGACGCTCATATTTTCTGCACTGTCGATCAGGTGAGCGGCAGCTCCTCCTACGCATGAGCAGAAGTCCCGAGTGGCTCTCGAAGGAAGAAATCCTTGCATTCGAATCGATAATATCGAGAAGATTCGGTGACTTGGATTTAAACGATGTCACCTGAGCTGGGAAGGCTTTGGAAAGACGTATCTAAATTCTTCGATTCCAGATCTCCCAAGAGATTGAGGGAGCGTTGGACTTTTTGAGGAACGTGTACGAAGTCTTCGGCTTCACATTCGAATTGAAGCTGTCGACGAGGCCCGAGGGATACCTCGGTGAACTGGAACTCTGGAATCAGGCTGAGAAACAACTGGCCGAGTCCCTGGACAAATTCGGACAGAAGTGGTCGCTTAATCCCGGCGATGGAGCTTTCTATGGACCGAAGATCGACATCACCATCCAGGTAATCATTTTCGCCTGTCGAATTCTTCACTGTGACCGGACACGACTCTGGCTCGTTTGGCGCATCGTCTCTAGAAACACGGCTAATAATGGGATATCGTGATGCTCGGGGAAATCATGGAGTCGAATTATTGATTCGAATTGATTTTTCCAGGACGCACTCCGACGTAACTTCCAGTGTGCAACGATCCAGTTGGATTTCCAGCTTCCCATCCGATTCAATTTGAATTACGTGAGCGAAACCGGGGACAAGAAACACCCTGTAATGATTCACAGAGCCATACTCGGATCTCTCGAGCGAATGATCGCCATACTCACGGAAAACTACGGCGGGAAATGGCCGTTCTGGCTCAACCCCCGGCAAGCAGTCGTCGTTCCCGTCGGACCTCAATTCGACGAGTATGCTCTCCAAGTGAAAGCGCAGCTGTTCGACGCGGGCTTCAAATGCGACGCCGATCTCACGGAAGGCAATACGTTGAATAAGAAGATCCGCAACGCGCAACTGGCTCAATACAACTTCATCCTGGTTGTCGGCGAGAAGGAAAAGACGGCGGGCACCGCGAATGTCAGAACTCGGGACAACAAGGTCCACGGCGAGTTTTCTATCAAAGATATCTCGCAACGCTTCGCGAAACTGAGGCAAGAAAAGTCGAAGGATTCTGAGAACGACTTCTGAGAACTTAGGAACCGACGATGACTCTCTCTAATTTAATAAAGATTGCTGATTCAGAATCTAATTCGTGCCCCCTGGACTCGATTCACGTGCGATTCCCCTTTCGGGGAGAGTAGGCCTTTCATTACGCTTGAGGAGCGAAAAATCTCAATTGTCCTCTCTCAGAAATACTGGTTGTAGGAAACCGATCAGCCAGGTTGACAGTCCCAGAAGACTGGTCTCTGGGAAATCGTTGACAAGTTTCCCTGTGCCAACTTGCATTGGGGTCGACACCAGGGAGGGAATGGGTTTTTAATGGCAGAGGAGAGAATCTTGGACAGCGCACGTGATAATCGAAACGAGTCTCTAGGACACAGAAGGCAAACAGTATAGAAGTCAAGAATCGACCGCGATTGAGAGATCAGGAACTGATGATTTTCTTCCGTTTTCTGTGCTAGTTACCGTCCGATAGCGTTGGCGGTATCGACGAACAATAGGAACGAGTTGTCGATGTTGAGCAACCGTCGGGCACATTGATCGCATGGCGTGATGTGTGGTTCACTCAGAGTTGAGCGTCACTTTTGTCACTTGTTCCAAAGTAGAGAAGAATGGAGGCAACAAAAAAGGATGTATGCAAATTTCACGGGCAACAATGCCAGGGAAAAGAATCGAAATCGGCTCTTATGCAAAGTGTCTGATGTGGTAGTCTCGGTCCGCATCCTCCAGTTCCATGGCACATAACAAGCGTTTGCCGACGGGCAAAGAAGCGATTTTCCCCTCCTCTGCATGGGAAGAACGGGGGGAGCCTGCCGGAGCTTCCGAGCAGCGATCGATTCAAACCTGTCATGAATATCTTCCAGCATGGAGTATGAAGACCTAAAAAAAGAGACGACGCTTCGAGAATATCGTGGACCCCAATTCGAAACTCGAGAATCTCCACTAGATCATCAATTGGATGGACGAGTCGATGGAGAACGAGGGTCGAACTCAAGTATTTATTTACATTGATGATTCGCTATCACCTCACGACACAAACATCCTTCGGCAGCAGAAAGGAGCTAAATACATCAACGATCAATCAACAATAGGAACACGCGGAATCCTTATCTAGATGTTCAAAAGCAGCAAATAGATTATTTACAGTGGCATTGATTCCGCTGACCGAACCGCGGATGGCAGATTGACAATCTCATCGAGCGCTCCCCCGAATTCTGCGGGAGGTGGATTCTCAGACCCTTCAGAACTTTGTCGAACCGTCTTCAGAGACCTCTTCTATTGTCGCCTCCTTCGGTCGCTTTCGATCCATGGAGCCTCCTGTCGTGGCCGCCGCCGATGACCTCCTGAACGCCATAGAAGCCCTGCGTATTTGGGAAGCGAGCTCGGACATCCTCCTTGAGAGACGGTTGAAGATTCCGTCGTCGAGAGCTAAATTCAAAGTCTCCGGGAGGACCAGGGTCAATACGGCTCCCAGGAGACTCATCGATCCGTATAATAGCGGCAGGAGATGACTGTGGATTTTCGGCAGGTAGTACCTTCCGAAAGGATCGACCGTTGAAGCGAGTCTGTACATCAGGTCACAGAAACCGATTCCGACATTTCTCAAGGGGGTGGGATACAGTTCGGCGCTGTACACCGGATATATTTGAGTGAATGCAGCTGATGATGAACGAATGATGATAATGGAGCCCATCTGCAGATAGTAATGGTTCGGTGCAGAAACAAGTTGTTCGGTGAGAGCCATCAGATAAAAACCGAGAGCCCCGAAAGTCGTAGTGATGTACACGATGAGTTTCCGTCGCATGAACTTCACGCCGACCGCCACCAGCGTGATCGCGATCAATTCCCCGACAATGGGAATGCAGAACGAGACGTGAGGACTGGTTCCGAGCGACGTTGAGACGAATGTGGCCGAGTAGAAAAGAATCCCCTGCGTGAAGCACAGGTACCACATGACGAGTGTGTTCGGGGCCATTCGTTTCCCAGACCCGGGTCTATTCCGCAGGAGATCCATGGGGCTGTTGGCTTTCGGCGGTGACAGCTGTTCGTATTTTCTGCGAATCGCTGGCAAATGGAAGTCGACCTGCGTTCTCGGTATTTTGTTGAAGCGACAGATCTTCTCGATGACTTCGACGCCTTCGTCGAGTCTTTTCTGCGAGAGGAGCCACCTCGGAGATTCCCATACGAAAAACAGGAACGGTAGGACAGCGATCGCAGGACCTCCTATGAGACCTTGTAGATAACGCCAACTATCACCGTAATAGCTGGTCAGGGCTACGGCTAGCATTCCGAGATGGAAACCGAATCCGTTCAGCAGCGAGAACATCCACCGATACGAGGGTTTGATGACTTCGAGATAGATGACGATCGAAGCTTGAATTCCGATTTTCGATACCGACGAGAGGAATCGACCGACATTGAACACGACGAAATTGCTTGTAGCGGTAGCAGCGATTCCGGAGACGGCACAGAGCAAGATGCCCAAATAAACTGCAGGCTTGCGACCGTAGTGATCACTGAACGCGCTGAAAACGACGTTCCCTACTATCAGACCCGCCATGGACAAGGCTTGAGGGAACGGTTTCAGGTAATCGTTGTGACATACCAAGTTCCACTGCTCGAGAATCGTGGATCGATGGATCGAGTGGTCGTAGTCCCATTGATTGCAGTCGGAGACTATTCCCCCGTTGACTCTCTCGCAGTATCCATCACCGTTCGTGTGGACAAACTTCCACCACTGAGGGTCTTGACTCCCGCTGCAGTTATAGGAAACACCGGGGGGCAGCATAAATGCCATGGCGAGCTGTCCGTACGCATTGAAAACCGAGTTGACGAAGATCACAGCTAATAGTATGAAGTGCCAAGGCCCGACTCGTCCGATCAGGTCGGCGATTTCACCGGTGAGCTCCTTCTTGTTGTCGGAGCGCCCCATTGCTTCACACTGCTGGAGGCAGGTGTTAGCCTGCGGTCACGTTCGTCCGTCACCCACTCACTCGGCCTCCGAATCGGTCGCTTCAACAGGTCTAATGTTGCGGTACACGCATGAAGCGTGAGATTTTGGCCAGCAGCTCCCCTCCACTACACTTGGCCAGCCTACCAACTAGTGTAGCAGAGCTTTCTTTCGCACTACTGACGGCCGTGGCGGCGCACGCTCTCGTCAACTTCTGCCGAAGCGCTCGTCTGCGTATATAAGGAGAGCAAAACAGTTGAGGGAAGGGATTTGGTGCCCAGGAGTTTGGTTCAAGGTCGGATGCGGGAACCCACATCGCGGGTCTTCGGTTCTCGGTTGTTCGCTTCTCCGGCGACATTGTGTTTCCGCGTAATTCCCCTCGATCGCTCCGGCTTAAAATTATCTGCTCCCACATCCGGAAGCCAACCAGAGAGCTTCTCTATCTCCTCCAGCTGGGTCAGGGTCGGTAGGCCCTCATTCGGGTTCGAACGACTCGAACGATGTCTGAATTTCGATCGAGCGTATTTTTTTTCTCCCGAGATGCGAGGCCACCGCAGAACAGTTAGCGATTTTTCCGATTCAGGAAAATCTTCAGATTCAGAAGAATCGAGAGTGAATTCCCGTGTTAGTCGTCTTCTGCGCTAAAGACAAGTTCGCATGACTGGCGGAAGTCTCTTGTCACGAGAGCTTGGAATTCGACTTGGCATTTTTAGCGAGCTTTCATTAGACTTCCCCGTTCAGAAGATTCTATTTTAGATAGTGACGTTTCATCGGGTTTGCAGCGGATGGTGTTGCCTCCAAAACAAACTCTCTGAGCGGTGACATCATCGAAAGTAAGACTATTGGAGTTAAAACAGCACTCTGGAAGCGAGTGACGGAAAAAACAAGGAAGTACCGATGGGCGTATTTTAGGGAGAGGGTATGCAGTGAACTCCGCCTAATAGGAACAAATCGGGAATAACGTTCTTTCTCGATCCAGAGGAGCGGAGGATCTGATTATCCGCAGCCTAATCGATCGGGAACCTTCGAAAGCGATCCAATTGGGCGGAGGATCCAATCGATTGGTGTTCCCGTTTAGCAAAGCTCACTGAAGTAAGTTGTCGCGGAATCCGCGCGTCCGGTGAGAGGACTCCATTCGAGTAGCATGCGCCTACTTGGAAATCGTGAGGTACATGAAAAACGCCCTCACCCCTAACGGTCCCTACGGGAGTTTTTTGGAGACTCAGACCCCGGTAAAACATATTCTGATCTGCGTTACGGTCAGATCGTGAGATAACTAAACGGAGTCCGCAATGGATCTATCCTGGAAAAGATCGGACCACGAAAGAGCGGTTCATTCAGTGACGGAAAGTGGGCCATCAACAGCTCCGCATGAACTTTCTGAGAGTCTCTGACGTTTGTTCTGCCAGAAAAGTAAACTTCCGAAACAATTGTGTGCGGTCACTCCCACTCTCCGTGACACTCTGGGTGCGCATCGGTGTCCCCGGCGGAACATTGATCCGTAGGGAGCGACGGGCATGATCGAGATCCGTTGCTTCTGTACGTATTCCACAAACGAGTGAGAAATCGCCCTCCACGACATCAATCGAACAGCGCATTGCGTGGAGTTCCTCGGCCCGCCGAGGAACGCCGTCCTCGATTCCCGTCGGGACGATTCGCGCGATAAATCAAGATAAAATCTGGTGAACCTCATCTATTTGTGTCCGAGCGGTCCCCGTTTCCTCGATTTTGACCGAGATGGTGCAACACTGTTTGTCCAGGCCATAGACGCTCTGAAATTCAGGATGAAGCAGAATCGAACGGTTGACACAAGTCGGACGCTGACAGATCTTTCGTCTATTGTACCCGTTGACGGCGGCAGTCCAGGTCATGACTGTTGGCGGTGATTCCTTTGGCATGATTTCAGGGCGAGCAATTCTTCTTCCGTCAAAAGTTTCAGCGAGCAGCCAATCCGATTCTCAGGAACGGCTCGATCGGACTCGTCACCCTTGTGTTCGAACCACGCGCCGGTCCGCGTACTCGGACATCGCGGACACAGGTCAGGGAGACAGGTTGGAAATAGCCTTGGCGGCTGGCCGGTTCAATGAGTCTAGCGGAGAGTTCGAAGCGCAGCATCCTTACCCAAATCATCCGTCAACTCATTGATGGCAAGCTGCCACCTCCGTCCCGAGGGACAATGGCACTCATATATTCATATAGAGCCGTGCCGTTTTGGATCGGATCAAAATGTAGCGATTTGCCGACAGTCAGCTACAACAGTCAATGCACAACTCTCGACCTCGAAGGGGATCACACGCGATAAATTTACCGGCGAGGATCCGATTCTCGATAGCGGATCGCTCGATCGTACGAGGGGATGCACCTCCGTCGATGTCGATTCTCGTGAGAATGTCAGGGGAAGTTCGGGCTCGATTAGCATCCAATCCTTGCGGTCGATGCGTGATGTTGACGGATCGGGGTCATTGATATCTTTCTAGAAAAGAGCGATTACTCACAGCTCATCCGGTCGCCTTCCGCTCAGCATCCAACCCATCCGGGGGCTGCGAAGCTTTCAAATCGCAACTGAGCAGGGCAGGTTCCGTAGATGCACCCCGATGGAAAGATAGCAACGAGCACGCAGGGAGAAGCATCTTAAGCGTCTCGGTCGAGCGTGATTGACTCCGTGAAGCCAGCTGGAATTTCCGGCTATCTCGGAGGATATCGGCTCCGAAGATTCCGGAGATTCATCACAACATGGTCGGCTTTAAGTTATCTTTTTATTCATCGAATATCCCCCGTTTTCACAGCTCAGTGAGGGAAAATCGACGCGGATCGGGAATGTCCCAATCCGAACCAGATGCGAATTTCGCGAACAGGACAATCGCTTGTCATATAAGTGTTAAAACCTGGGACAAGGGTCTCTTGCCTCAGCCGGATTCGATAAGATTTAAAACTCCCAAATGAATGCCAGATATCGTACTAGGCGAGGGAAAGCTTTGTCTCCCTGGAACCTGCTGGTCCCAGATTGTCATGTCGCTCGTGTAATCCTCAGGAATTTCTGAGACTATGTCAATTGTCTATTTCCATTGGTGCTTCCCCGAGCTGGTCGTCCTCGTCAGGAGGGCAAATTTGCGTCGAAGTGAGCACCTGGTCGAAAGAGAACTCCAAGAAGCGCACTTGTTTCTTCGTTCCCGCTGTGGAGCTTGGAGAATCTCCAGAGTCGTCGAACCTGGCTCGCAGTCTTGAGGCAAAGCGATTATCTTCCAAGGAAGACTCCACTCGAGATTTGACGACGGTTTTCCCCCGCCACAGGGGATGCCGTGGGCCGCATTGATCATGTTCCCGGCTCTTATCGCTAATCGGTAACCATCCGAAGATTGTGAGTCCTGCAAGGGATAGAGAGGAACTCGAACTTGAATGAGACTCTGCTTGAGCGTATTTTTTCTTAAGCGAATTTCGCCCGGGCTTCCTGCTGGCAAAGTAAAAAGAACTCACTGTGCTGTGGATTCTCGTCAGGGTGAATAATGAATGTGCCTCTGGGAACACCGAGCTTGGGATAAAACATGGCGGTTTAAAATCGGAATAGCGTTCGACTGGCTCGGGTCTCAAGCGACTGTTACGACGCATGTATCGAGCGTGTGCACGCATGTCGAAGCCGAACGCGTGGAACTTGCGGTGGCGTCAACTCGAGGACGTGTTTTCTTCCCGACCGGAAACTGTCCGGAATCTTCTCCCGACTTGGCCCTTCTGCTCTTAGTGAAGCAGGATTATTCCTTCCCGACCGGAATGATCCCTCGCCAGTCTCCCCATTCGATGCCTCGGAGCTCGAATTCTCGCCGTTTGAATTCGCTCGAGCTTCACCAGGGGCTCCTCTACTCGGAGAGGAGCTTAGTCTCCAATAGTACTCCGGGGTTGCGGGGCGGTCCTCAATCCCATCCGGACCCCAGAATTATTGACGGAGGTCGGCAATTCTGCTCGCGGGTGTTCACCTCCGGCCTCATGCTCGAAGTCTCCTCATTACCGAGATCCCTCAGCTTTCGAGGATTGTCCCGCAGAATTTAATATTCGGATCGAGCTCTCCAGATCTCCTTTTTGGAGAGGACACCTGAGCAGAAAGACCCCCGATCTGTCGTGCATTGCCTCCCGGAGAATCGGCGCTGGCACATTGCCCAATGAAAAAGTGCTGCCGGCGGGAGCGAGGACACGGCGAGGAAATTCATCCATCCGTTCACGTCTCACCGGGCGAGTGTCGAGTTTCCTCAAATGTTTCGGCGAAAGTCTCTTGTCAGTGATGCCGTGCTCAGTGTTCTTATAGGCTCAACGAGTTGATATCAACGAGCTGCAGTGATATCTAATAATTCCCAGTCCGTGGGTGATAATAACATCACGAGAGCGACAAAACGCTTATACTCGCTCCGGTATTACAGGTGAGGGGAAACCTGTGGAAAGTTGTGCTTCACTCTAATGCTGCGGGCATGCTCCGGAATTTTTCAAGGGATCTCCCGAGAACTCTTCTCAGATTGATCGCTTCATTGGGTCGATGCTTTGAAAGCAAGAAGAATGACCAACTCGTTCGGAGCGTCTCCGATATCGATCAGCTGATTCATCCAGCTGATCGAATAGGATTCCTCCTTCGTATGTTTCTTCCACGATTTTCCTATGGGAGTTCGTCGTCATTGGTCAGTCTAACTCGAGACTTGTCTCTGGAGGATCTATCAGTTTGATACAAAGATATTGACGAGTTTTGAAGCCCGACCGCGACACCGGCACAGTCCTCAGTCATATGCACCGAATTCTTCGATGCATGCTACGGTTGCTGACTTGAGGGACCCAGAACTTAAAATCACGATCCATACAGCCGTATGAGAGTCTGGTCGGGCTCGAATGCGCCCCGGAACTGCCAGCAGACGAAGCGCGGGCAATATTTCCCTACCCCTGACACTTCGGGGGAACTATCCGTCAGTTTTGATCGGCATTTTGCATTATAAGGAGCATTTCCCTTCTTCCGCGATACGTGCGAGCTTGCGCTAGCTCGCCCAGGAAGATTGTTTCCGCGGGTGCGAAGACTTTCGGAAGCTGATGATCAGGGCGGTCTACTCTCGAGAGCTCGGATGAACCCCGAGATCAAGGGTCGCGGTTTCTTTGGGTCGGAGCCCACGCAAAGGTTGGATCGAGCTCGCCGGAAGTCATGGGCGGCGTGGTCGATCTTCGTGACTCGATACGAGCATAGATGGTCCGAGCAAGGGCCGAGTTCGTCCAAGAGCTCGGAGCTGCAATGATAATACTCAGCATCTCTCAGTTGAGTCTCCGAAGTCAGAGAGACTGATGTGCTGATGTCCCACATGGAGTTAGTCAGCAGAGACTCAACCGGCCTCGCGAAGAGCTCCGTCTGTATTTCATTTAGCGGTAAGCGTAGACGCTCTGACACTGATATGGAGTAAGTGTGAGCAAGCGTGCTTGGGGTGGACATCACCCCAGCCGAAAAGTTCAACTCTCAATTCTCGTGGGTCTCTGACCGGATATCACGACGAAACTCATTCCGGGAATGACACGACGTGGTTTCCGACTTTGGAGGTCGGAGTAGCTGAGAGCTGCGCGTCAATATTGTGAGGGTCAGGCGCTCCAACCCTCCTCTAATCAAAGCTGAGCTTGGGTACTGAGCTTCACGAACCGGAAATGTAACAGAAATGTGTCTGGGCTCTCTGCAGCTCGAGATTACGAATCGGGAGCGTGAAAAAGTTGTGGTGGTCTTTATAAAATCGGCATCGCTATCAAGATGGAGCTTCCATCCGGCGCTTGTGCATAGATCAGCAGCCGGAGGTGTTGTCGATACAGCGATGCTCGACTGGACACTTGATCCCTGTCAGGACAGCGCTGAGAGAGTATTGCTGTATCGTCGAGCATGGGATCACTCTTTAACCAGTCTGCGTCGAGCCAGAGGTATCGATCATCGGAATGAACCTGTCGTGAATGCGGGAAGACCCCAGGGATCACGCAGACTCGCTCACCGTCCCAGGAGGCTCTTGGAGGGACTCCATAGGTTTCAGAGTTCCGAACGCTCACTTCAGCCGCTGGCGCTGAGCGACAATGACGCTATCCGCTCATGAGTTGGTGGATAGGCTACAGAATACGTCTGGTTTCAAGATGTGAGTGTTTTCGGCTTGACATCGACGCAACGCGATGTTCACGGGGATGACGAACCTCGTTGTTCATATCCGAGCATCGGTGGCATTTTTTTTCCAATAATTTGAGCCGTGGTCCCTAGAGACTGGCGTCGTCTTCACCTCTTTGATTCGAAAATTGGAGTCCGGCTAGGGAGGTAAAGTGCGCTGCGAGTTATTCTGTTAATGCAGCAGATTGTATTAAGTTCACGGATCGCAAGTTCGTTGACCCGATTCTGAATGGAATTCCTGAGTGTCATAGTACACCGTAATAAGGATAGATACTAGCTCGAGTCGAGATCGTCTTCGGCGCGTTGTCGAGGGCGCTGCCTGGTCTCAACCAGGGAATCTCGGACCATGGGTACGGATAAGGATATCGATTCATAAATGAAAAGAGAGGTCTCCTTTTTCAGATTATATACCTATATTAGCATGGCTTTGTCAAAAGTGCTAATGGAGAAACTATTCACCTACGACTCCCTCGTTCATGCCGTTTCGGGTGCCGTGGGAGCTTCCGTGGCCATGAGTGTTCTATATCCTCTCGACACGATACGGAGTCGTCTCCAGGTAAGCCGAGTCGAGGGAAATGTTTCGATACGTAGGGAACACTCGGAAATGTCAGGGATCCGTAGCGATTTCAGGAAACTGTTGAAGTCTCTTCTGTCCCAGCCGGGGAGGGATAGAGAGTTTCCCATTCTCGATTTCATTCCAATCGATTCTCGAGGGCCTGAACTTGCATCGATTATTATCAAACTCCCGGATTCAGACGGAAGCTGCACAATCTGACAGGAAAATACGAGCAGAATGGAGCAGTCTCAACATAGGAGGATTTTTCTCCGCTTAGATTCCTAACGCATGCCAAACCTTTCTCTCTAGATCGAGGAAGGCGATGTGTCGAAATCTACCGCAGATATGTTCCAACAAATCATGGATGAAGAAGGTGTTCAAGGTCTCTATCGCGGTCTGACACCTGTACTGCAATCTTTGATTTGCTCGAACTTCGTGTGAGTATCGGCACGGAACATCCGACTTCCGCAAACATGAAGAATTCACCCTACGAGTGAATCCTCAACCCACGAATCCTAATGAAACCATTCATCGTTCTCTCCAGATACTTCTACTCGTTCCACGGTTTACGTGCCGTGTTCAACATGAATAATTCCGCAGGACGCGATTTAGCCTTGGCGGCGGTCGCGGGAACGATCAACGTTCTTGCGACGACCCCGATGTGGGTTGTCAACACGAGAATGAAAGTGAATGGAGCGAGACATGGTCCGAGGAATCTTCGATGTGACTACAGGAGCATATGGGAAGGTCTCGTCGATATAGCCAGGTGTGTTTCTCATAACCTCACGCGTGCTCGTTCGCTAATCTCCTTTCCGCGGGCTTCTGTCCCGCGCTTACCGAGACAGGGAGGGCCCCTCCTCATTGTATCATTAGGACAACCCTCCAGAGATTGAAGCCATTAAAAAGTTCGGCGCTTCTTTCCAGAAATGAGGGCCTATCGGCTTTGTGGTCGTCTACGCTGCCCTCCCTCATCCTAGTCTCGAATCCGTCGATACAATTTATGGTATACGAAGCGCTGAAGAGACGCTGCGTGTACCTCAGAATACCTCTCTCTTCTGGAACAGTTTTCACCATTGGAGCCGTGTCAAAATGCGTAGCAACCGTGCTGACGTATCCCATCCAGGTGGGTGCTCCTTTCTTCTCTATTTTTCTATCATGGAGAAGTTTATCAAATTCTGGAAAAAAATACCATCCGAAGGAAGTTTACGCATTCTTCGGAGGAGTGTCTTCGAACTTGATGTTTTCGCTTTTTCAGCTGGCCCAATCGAAAATGCGGTACAGCAACGACAATCGGACGATGATAAGCGTTCTGATCTATGTCGCTCGGAACTTCGGAGTCGCGGGACTTTTTAAGGGTTTAGAATCGAAACTTCTGCAGACAGTTTCTACGACAGCTCTGATGTTCATGGTTTACGAGAAAATCGCGGAAATTGTCTTCGCCCTGCTCAAGGCAGAGGGCGAGCTGCAGAGAGCCAAGAAGTAGGGAACGTCCATCGATGGATGAGGAAACGTCCGTGCTAAAAATCAAACGAATCGAGCAATCGATCAGGATTCCGTGGACTGCGAGCAAAATTGTTCAAAATGAAAAATCCTGTACATTATATAAATTCACCCATGAAGCCCCGTCTCGCCACGAGGAGCGCGGCTTCTCGTGATACGATCAGAGGAGCTTTTTCCCTGATTTTGACTCTGAAGACATGACGAGATACAATAAAACAAGCTGTTATCTAGGTCGAAACCCTCCAGTTCCCCTCTCTCGGGGCTTGTTCAATCCTGAGTCACCATGGGAGCGCGCATGAATACTTTGCCGAATATTCGACCGGGAGCGGGGGGGAGGGAAATAGGAAGGGGTTGTGACCCGATTCTGGCTCTTTCCCGACCAGAGCTCTTGAGGATGCCTTCAGGTTCGATAATTTCGATTTCGAATCTATTCCGTCAATGGAAGCCTCGAAATATCCGCCCCTCTCGCGTTGGCCGAATTCCGCCTGCACTAGAATGGGAGATGGATGCTCTTCCAGCTTGCGGCGAGGAAGAACCGCAGTTCGGAATCTTCGATGATCGCTCATAGTTTGGTCGGTCGAACAAGCTTCGCATCGATTAGTTCCACCATGTAGTCGCGAGAGTCCGTCGAGAGAGCCTCCTTCTGTTAGAGAGTAGAATGATTCATTTTCTTCTACGAGAGATCTTCGCAGTACCAGGTCCTGGGGCTTCCCTGATTCACCCAGGAGCCAGGGCTTCGCGTTATTCTTCGCCTGAGCTTGTGCCGCTGATCTCAAAACAGCCGGCGAGCGACCCGCCAGGGCGCGGCATGCTGCCGCGTAAGATGTACGGGGCACGTCTAAGGTCCCCGTTTCCGGAGATACCGAGAATCGCACATGTTGTTTGTCGACGAACGGATCGAGCTCCACAAATAGGCCTTGCTTTTTCCTGATCAGAGTCGAGGGAAACAAGCGGTGAGATACCCAAATAACTATCAGCATCGGATTCACCTGTTGTGAGCCGAGAATATGCTCAAACCTTAATCTGTGTATATGCTTAATCTGTAAGGCATCTCGATTAGCTGAACGATCCAGTTACAACAAAATTCAATATCGGATCTGTTTCACGAATACTATAATATTGCAGGTAGTTGCGCAAGCTCGGTTGGACGTCGGTCGGTTCTACGACAATCGGACAATTCAGCTTAGAAACTTCTAGAGCGAGGCTTTTGCATCGTGAGCCTCGGTCATGGAAAAAACACCATACCATGGCCAACATGGCGCATACGAGTCGGTGGACACGCGCACCGCTACTCCAGGGTTGTTGGCAGAGACCCCACTGGCACTCTCAAATTTTCCCCGTCCGATACCGACGATGCAAGTGCAACTAGCTGATCAGCCTCTACCTCTGAGATGTCCTTATTGTGATGAAAAAATCAAGACCAAGGTATCCCACAAAGCTGGAGGCTTGACATACCTTGTGGCTTTCGGCCTCCTGCTGTGTTCGTTCGCTTGTTGCTGCATCATCCCATGCTGTTGCGCCCGGTGCAAGGATACCCATCATTATTGTCCTAAATGCAAAGTGAAATTGGGAATCCACAAGCGGCTTTGAGGAATCCTCAACCCGGAGCTCTATTGTCCCTGGGACGCCTAGAAAGTCTCCCTCAATTCAGGCAATAAACAGGTTGAGGTTTTTCGGGAATTCATCCTTTGGTCTCAATGGTCGCTCGGTATAAGCAACTCAAGTATCAGGTTATGGCGCAAATAATTTCGAAAGCATGTATGACGATCGTAGTTCCTTCGTCCCCCCATGGGAATCCCATCTAGCCGTGTAGGTGCGCCTATGGATATTCCCTACCTATCACCAAGGAGCGAGTCGGCCATGATTTCTCCAGTCGGCCCGAGACAGTAATGAGGAGTTGTTTCCCGAATCGGTGCCCATTCTGCATTGGCTTCATGAACTTCCGAGTCCGGAGCGGAGGAACGGAGAAGGGTTTCCACCCCGGAGCTCCCCCGATTGCTCTCCCGACCTTGCGACCTTCTTATTTCAGTCTCGATGTGCACGTTCTCGGCCGACGAAATGTCATCCAACTTGACTTGAGAGAGTAAGGCTCGTCGGACAAGCGAGTGTTGCGTCACCCACCTCAGTCAATCATCGTGTGCTGCAGGCGGTGCATTTCTTGAACAAGGGTTGGATTTGAACATAAAGGTGAGACTCATCCATATTTCGAATCGAGACGGAATTAATTCTCCTGGGAAGATAAGGCTCTCGCGTGAGCATGCGGCGTTTCTGCCGAATGTTCGATCTGAGAGTCGCGGACTTTCCTCCGAATATCGGATTCCACTCGCCTCGCTGAACATGATCACGAGTGCTGCAGAAAAAAAATCGATGGAATACCTCAAGTTCAGGAGAACATTTCAGCTCCGAAGACTCGAAGCTACTTCTACGACGCCACGAACGTAAGCTTGTTCGAAACCTTGGCCGCAGTCTACGGCGCTAGTCAAGCTTTTCCATGGAGAAAGTACAATGCGATCAGCCAATGGCATGCGCTCCCCAAGACCAACTCATACCCCCACCGTACTATGATATGAGGCTGATGAACCCCACAGATCGTCCGCGACCGGCGGTACCCGTGCATCTCGGGGATCAATCGGTACCTATGACATGTACTCATTGCGGTAGACAGATACGTACAATATTATCTTACAAACCAGGCGGCCTGACCTACCTTGCCGCCTTCGGCATCGGTCTGTTCCTATGGTGTGGATGTTGTCTTATTCCGTGCTGCGTCGACTCCTGCAAGGATGTTTACCATAATTGCCCGAGCTGCGATGCTCAACTGGGTATCCACAAACGACTGTAGCAATATAGGAAGAGATTGGTGCCCGACGCGTATGCTCCGCCTTCTCCTAAACGTAAATTATCTCATTATAAGTCACGTGAGAACGATTGATGTCCCACAGGTTTTAAGTCTTAAGACTCCGCATGGAGACCGAGAATAAAGGAATAAAATGATCCGTCACAAGCACGTGCTCCCGTTGATTTCTTCGAAGACAGGTTCCGGAAGCCGGCGGAGTTTTGAAGCTGACGGATGCAGGGATCGGTATAGCCTTCTCCCGCATGCTCTACTTGATTCCAGCTTAGAGAAGGCTGTACGACAATAAATCTTCGACCAATAAAGTGTTCGATGATTCATCGAGGAATCGTCAGAACCTTTCGTGGAATGCTATGAGCACAGCCTTCGAGGACCTTATGACTCTAGAGTCGGAACGGATTCTGGATATTTTCGAGTGAAACCTCCGTTCGATTATTCACGATTCTCAGTCAGTCCGATCCGAGTCCGAGGATATCTCGAGAGGCTGTGCGTCTGACAGCATGGCTTGCCATGCTTCGAATTGAATCCGGCGCTCCAGATGCCCGGAAAATCGTTCGTGTAGTGGAATTCCATGGACGAACTGATCCGCCGAGCATCTAGTTGGATAAGCAGCGTGAACTTCGGCGTGGAGCCTTTCGGAGAAGGATAATCCGGCGATTCATCACGTGTTCAATCGAGCAGAGAATCGGTGTCGTTGCAGAATCTCGAAGAGATCGAAATGAGCCCTTGCGAGCATTTCGCACGATAGACGAGGAAGCGCTCCATGAACCGACCCACTGAGCTCGCCGGCGTCGCCTATCCAGGGGCCCGAGTTGGTTTCACCCTACCAGCCTTGGATGGCCGACAGAATCAGCGCCAGCGACCGTTATCGGCGCCTTTGCTCCGAGCTCCTACGATACAGGAAGCGGTTGTTTTGGCTCCGTCGACTCTTCCTCGGGCACAGATGCCGGAAAAATTCGGCGATCGGCCCCTCTCATTGGAATGTCCACACTGCGCTCAGCGTATCTACACTAGATTGAACTATCGCCTCGGTTGTCTGGCATGCTCCGTGTGTCTCGGCCTCGCTTTGGTTTTTTCGTGCGGGGGCTGCTGCCTCACGGTCTGCTGCGACAACGCCTTACAGGATATTCATCATCATTGTCCTAATTGCAAGGCCCAACTGGGCATCCACAAACGACTATAAATTTCTGTATTCTAAGAGGACGTCGGTGCCTTCATTGCCTTCAGCCGAATCGGATGATTCAAACTTATCGCGAGGAGACCGAGAGCGTCTGGATGTTTTCAGAAATAGATCCGACGCATCACCACATATGAATCAGATTTCATTTCTATTCGCTTCCTGGTGTTTCGAGCCGAGCTTGGTTGCGTTTTCCAGTACGGGATACGATCAAGTAAGTGAGCGAGTACCGAAGCTGAGTCAGACGATTTGATATGGTTTCTGCTTTCCGAAACTCTGGAAGGGACCCTCCCCACATTCCTGATCGGGGGATTCGATCGACATGTATTCAAGATCCGAGTCGAGACTCCGACATGGGACCCTATGGAGCCGGAGTTCCGGAATGGCCCCTTACATCCGGTTTTCTCTTATATCCGAAATTCTCTTAAGCGAGGTTTTTAACATGAAGCCCTATGGAGAAAAAATCGGAGAATCGGGATCGGTCTCTTAAATCCGGTTTTCTATTTTAGGCGGTTTTTCTTATAAGCGACTTCGACTGTATTGAGACGGGACCGCAGTTCAGGATGCGGTACGAATCCGCCATCCGAGAAATCTCTATGCGGGCGCGACGGTCCCTGTGATATCGAGCTTCATCGACAGGACAGCCGCGCTTCGAAGGGAACACCAATGAATGATGCTTTGCCTCGAATCTCCAATGAGATCTCGGTACAGTCGCTGCCATCATGACGTCGTTCTATTCCCGGGAGCGGCATCATTTTAGTGGGCTTGGGGTCCTTTTCGAAGAAGATACGCATTCGGTCGGAAAATCGACGCCGATTTCTATTCTGTTCCGAATTCAGTGAAGAGTCCTTTAAAGTCTCGAGACTCCCGCGGCATGCGGGTGCGAGAGAATTAATTGAGCTGCCGTCGACTAAACGCGAATTCTTCTCACGCTTCCACGGAATCAGTCATCGTATCCCAATCATCAGGCCGAATATCGCCGTTCGCTTTCTTGATGAAACGAGATTTGTTCCAAGTCTGGAAAGCGGCGCATTCTTTGTGCTCGGTGCCCAGTGAATTCGCCTGGGCGCTGCCGGCAGTTCGCATCGTCCTCATCTGGAGTCAGCAACAATATTCCGCGGTAAGATTGACGACCTCTTCCCTCTGTGCCGTCCGACGGGGCTCGTCGGTGTCGTGTCGGTTTCATGTCGGGGATTCGTTCACGTGACGACATACATGTATCAGGCGTCTGGTCAAAATAGGATTCTTCTCACTCGAGGAGTAGTCGAGCCTGAGAGGCTCCTCATGAATCTTGATGTCGACCGAGTTCCGTAATTCGGATTCTCAATGGAATATCCATAGAAGTTTCGATTGCGCTGGAATTCATCTATCCTGGAGGAGATCTTCACCCGACTAATCCAAGGATTTGGGAAGTTACAGATTCCGAAGCCCATTCAGGCGAAACGGGTGAACGAAGCACCGAGCGGTGAATGTTCGAAGGATATCAACCTCTCTGATACTCCGGCTCGTTTACTCTATGAATTCAGATAAGCATGAAAGTTCCTAAACTGAGCCATCAGTCGATAGCTGTTTCCCAGAATCCTTCAGCCCCGTGCGCAAGCGAGCAGTCGCCGCCAATCATGATTTTCCCCCAGCCAGCAACGATGACGAGCGTGCAACTCTGTGATGAGCCACAGATTCTCAATTGTCCTCAGTGTCATAGACTGATCGAAACCGACGTATACTACAGATGCGGTAGCATGACGTATATCGCTGCCCTCCTGCTCTTGCTAACTTCATGCGGAATCTGCTGCTTCCTGCCGTTCTGCTGCACTCGCTGCAGAGATGCCGTCCATTATTGCCCTATATGTCGAACACAATTGGGAATACACAAGCGACTTTGAGAATTCTCTTTATGGTGCCGGAGAAACTGATGGCTTCGCAGAGCGCCTATCCTGATCAACAATAAACACGTACATATCTGGAAGCGTCGGCGATCCCGCGCGACTGAGTCGAGAGTCGTCGAGGATCGTACACAGAAGTCTTCACTTGAACCTTCACTCGAGGCGCAGCCCGTCGGTAGTTGAAGCGAGCCGACGTGAGTGCGTGTCGAAATGGGCGGGGGCTTTCAGATGAGAATCCTCCACCCCCTCTTTCTGCCGCGATATTTCCAGGAAATTTTCGGTCCTGTAATTCTCTCTTAAGAATACAGTGGAGTGAGATTCTAGCTTCGTTCTAGCCCTGAATGTTACTCGTCCCAGACGACTGGGGGTGGTCTCATTAATATCGAATCGATGGGCATATGTTGCATCCACCTACGTGACGGTTTTTGAAATCGGAGTAATCCCCCCTGTTCGGACGCGCTCCGTCAATCGCCCACGAAACAGAGAGTTGATTTTGAGCGGAGATATCCTGGCTGCCTTATGACCTATGACATCTTGCATCATTTCGAGTTCAGCTCGTAGTAGTCGCCGCCACGACAGAACAACTAAGCGATTAATAAGGAAGCTCAAAAGGCCAAAGGATTCCTGGATATTCCCGGGGATAAACTCGGTCAATCTAGTCGAATTTGAGCAATCATCAGTAAACATGGATGTTTGTCCTCGAAGCCAATCTATAGGTGAGTCATCATCCGGATCAATCACTGGATCAGCATTCGGTGGCTCGGCTGAAGTCGCCGCTCACCAAACGCCACAGAGCATCCGGATAGATAAGCGCATCGGACAAGAAATAGAAGTCGGACTGACGGATTTCGAGGCTTCAAGGAGGGCAACGCTGCCCCTTCGCTAGCTCATTCGAATGACTGTCACTTGGACGGGGCGGACATTGCACTGCATTGAAGTTCAGAAAGGACAAGATTTCATGACTTCCGATATATCCGGCCTCAGTTGAGCTATGCGAAATCTCTGGAACGGCGTACTTTGATATAATTGCAGCATGACCGGCTCACGGTGAACTCCTCCCCCTTGAAAGCCAGGATCGATATCTTAGATTTCTCGGCAGAAGAAAACCAAGAGTAACCTGTTCCCATGCTGAATCGAGACCCTAACGTAATATGCTTCGCGCGGGGAATCTCTCGAACGCGCGGATTTTGATTAATCTGGGGCTTGCGTCACTGATGACCTAAAAGTGAGCGCAGGCAGCGATTCATAGGGCGCTGGACCCGATTAACGTTGAGCATCGCATCAGAAAGGGTTCGACAAGCCCAGATGACGTGCTTGAGTTTGTCCATATTTAAGCATTAAAGGTTGGAACTGGAAACGCTCCTTTGTTGCGAATCAGTCTCGCTCAGCAGTGTCGACCATGTATCAAGAGCCTCCTCCGTACCAGCGGCTCGACGATCACTCCAGCTCGCCCCCCTCTTTAGCTCCCGTCAACTTCGGCGATCAGCCCGTTCCGGTCACCTGCCACAACTGCAATCTCCGAGTGTTCACCGAGATTCGCTATAGTTCAGGATTCCTCACCTATTTAAGTTGCTTCGGGTTAACGTTCGTCCTCCCTTTTGGATGCTGCCTCTTTCCATTCTGTCTCGACAGCTGCAAAGACGTCTACCACTACTGTCCCTCCTGTAAAATTCAGCTCGGAATTTACAAACGGGTGGGATAGCTGTTCGTCTGAACCCAGAAGACCCCGAAGTGTCGAAGTCGAGACGAATTCTCCCGGACGCGCGATCGGCCGCATGCACTCAACTCCTGGTGTCGATCTATCCTCACGGAGCGCTGGAGTCTCCGGAACTCCAACGATAGTGATATCGCGTCGAAGAAATGTGGAAAGGACGAAGTTTGTTCCCTTCCGAAACGGTTGGCGATTGTCTGCCCGTGCATATCGGCCTGAGGAGGGCTGCGGCGGGAGAGAACGCTGTTCACCTAGCCCACGCTGAGACCAGAAGATGCTCCACCAGAATCCGATGCGTGAGCGAAAGACTGCTTCGCGAACGAACACAGCTTTGGTGCGCGTGAGATCTTTCTCCGGAGACCATTGTTCAGCGATATCGTGACGACAATCGAGAAGTTTGCATGATCTCAGAATTTAGGAATAATGAAGGAGAATGTGAAGTCAAATTGAAGAGCGATCGAAGATTCTTCATTCTCAATAGGTACTAACTCTCTATCCTACAGCGATTTATCTATTATTCTTACAATAATTATTGGTCTTGTGAATTGCCTCCGGCTGCGTTTCCGATGAAAAGAAGAGACAGTCCGCAGAGATCATCACGCTGACTTCATCGTCTAGATTCTAGGAAGCAAAGGCATTACGGACGTGAATGCTTCCCACCGGTGGCGGCCATTAGAACATCGCTCTGAATGTGTACATGTCTTCCGTAGCGGGATCCTCCGAATGCTTTTATTATATCATACATAGGTAAATAGTCCTCATGGTCACGTGCTCAGGAGGAGCGAAATTGAAAGCGAGACAAAGATATTCTTCTCTCCATTTCTTTCATCTCAGGGATTGCTGAATAATTGTTGGTCCCCCCTATCACGAGGCCAAGGAGCTTAGTACCGCAAGACTCACACCGATATTCTTCAGCAAGCTCCAGCGTCCTTCACAAGCGCTCATGCCACAGCCATCGAGCGTGTAGAAGTTGGTGGCATTGATCTCCCCTGCGGTTTCGAACGAGCGAAGAAAATTCACGCGGATCACCGAAACGGTGGCAATGTAATGCCGAAGTACCCATACAAGGGGAACCGAATCGATCGAGGCCTTCTACGCAGTTCACAAGCGCAAGCGGTCTGTTTGGAGCGCTGATGCTAGCGAACTAGTCACACTTTCCGCTTGCGCTCTCCGCTCTCTGCACCAGCAGAACTCTCTTATTCTCAAAAGCTCACTTTCTCTCGTGCCATGGAGAAACCACCAGCCTATATTCAAGGGCCGGGCTCCCCGCCCCAGTATCCGCCCCCGCCCTCGATGTATCCACAGGTACCCGTGAACTATCAGCCGCAAGCAGCAGGTCTCCAGACCTTCATACTACCTGTGCAGTATGGTGATCAGCCCGTACCCACGACGTGTCCCAATTGCAATCAACGAGTCGTGACCGAGTTGTCCTACGAAGCTGGAGGTTTGACGTATCTCGCAGCCTTCGGAATCGCTCTGTTCTTCTGGTGCGGATGCTGCCTCATCCCGTGCTGCCTCGACAGCTGTAAGGATGTTTATCACCGGTGTCCCGAATGTCGTGTACAGCTCGGAATCCACAAGCGTCTCTGATGACTGTCAAATCCGATCGTTGACGAGCCGATATCGCTCGTCTTCGCGCTGATCTTGGATAAATAAACACCCGTGATTCGCCGATGCGGTTAATTCATGGTGACTTTGGCGCGACCGTTCGAGTGGTTTGGGCGAAGCGTTCGCTGCCGTTCTCAGCTTCTGCTTTGCTTTATCATATGTCCAGTCAGCTTCTTTTCTGTCACGCACTGGACCTGAGTAGATCACTATCCGCCAAACAAGACCCTCGTATCGAGCCGGGTACAAGGTTTGGGATGGAGCGACGGTAGTCGAAGTTTATTCAGCAGAGAGCTCTTTCTTTCAATGGCGAGTGTGTCACAGAAGCGACAGGTGTTTCCAGAAACAACAGCGTCATCCTTAAAAATATCGTTGAAACACAGAATTCCGCACCATCGCTGACCAAGTGGCGTCCCGCTTTTAGGGGCCCGAAGAGAATGATCCGATTGGATGAGTTCCGGTTGCAATATCGGTGTTCAATACCCAAGCCTCTACATATGGTCTCATCGATCCGAGCGTGGATATGCGCGCTTAGCTTGGATGAAATTGTGAGCCGGGATCGATAAGTCCCGGGAATTAATGGTATCACAAGAAATGATCGGAATAGATAGTTTCGTTCTCTGTGATAAGATCGAACACCGATAACTGCGTCCGACGGGAAGCGGGGAACTCTGGCCGATGTCTTCGAAGCTCGGCTCCGACCCTCACGACCCGGAGTGCCCGCCATTTTTCGAACGCTCCGAAGGCGATTTAAAAATGTCCCCGATTTTCATGAAGCCGGAAAGGAGCGAGTTAGCATGAAGTCCCAACGAATCAGGATTCGCCGTACTGAATTTGTGCTATTGTTCGCCGCGTTTCGCGCAGTCGAAGGGCTAGAAATCGCCACGCTCGGCATACCAAAGGTCAGTTTCGTTTCCCTGAGTGAGAGGGGTAGTCATTCCGAGCTCACAGTCGAATTCGGACGCCCGTCGAATGGACGGACTTCTAACGCAGTTCTCATCCTCAGGTCGTGGACTACAGGAATGTCAGCTCCGTCGTCAAAGAACAAGGTGCTTGCGGGGCTTGTTGGGCTTTCGCGCCTCTCGAAGCCGTTGAGCTGCTGTCAACCTTGCAGGGGAGAGCTCCGAGCAGAGCATCATTCTCTGTCCAGCATGTGATCGACTGCTCGGGTGGGTTGATCATCCCGGGACCGAAACCAGCTCGGAACGCGCGTTCCCAGCGACCTCGGGGATAATGTTATAGATTCCACAGATAACGTCATCAAGACCTGGATCTGTCGGATGTCCCTTCATAAGTCTTGGAGCGACTGCTAATTTCACGGCTGACTCACTCTTATATGATTGAGCCCGATCGGCGGATGTTTCTATTGCTATAGTGAAGCTCGCGTGATACCCAGTGACGAGCACTTATGTACAATCGCAGATATATCCTATGGATGCAGCGGCGGGGACATATGTGATGCGGTAGACTATCTTCAAACTTCGAAGTATCATTTCGTCGCTGAAGCTGCCTATTTCCCGTACACTGAGGATAAACTGGAATGCCGGAAAGAGGTGAGTCAATCATGCCGCCGGAAGGTGAATCGAAAAACTATAAGGATGCTCCGCCTTAGTGGTACGCGGCTTCAAGACTCGGAATGAGAGACCAATGAAGAAAACGTCGCCTTGAGGTCTCTTGGATGACCGCCAATCAGAGACATCGCGAGCGGAGCTAACTCGCCGGGAGTTCACCAGCAAGCTTCGGGACTTCTTGCTACTTATTATACTTGGTATTCTCATTCGATCTTAAGCATCTGGCATCGCAGCGGAGATAGCTGAGAGCGACGCGCAGTTTGTTCGCCCGATTTTCGTTATAGCTCGAGGCTTATCGATTGGGACGCTGAATGGAGAATACGTTACGGATAAGATCGAGGAGAAGCAGCGGAAGAACGTTCCGTTAAAATCTTAGAACAACTGACTCTTTGACCTCTCTGGCTTACAGGCAAAATACACCTCCGACATCAGCATCACCAGATCTTGGTGTGAAAACTACGCTGGCAGAGAAGGTTCATGAATGTTAAGAATTCGTTTTTCCTCAATGAAAGCTTGGTGGGAGAGTTTTTCCCTCCATTCCGGACATCTCACCCTGAATCATTCCAGGAGATCTTCTTAGGCTCGTTGCGAAAGGGCCAGTCATCGCGACCGTTGATGCCACTGTTTGGCGCGATTACCTCGGGGGTATCATAAGGTATGCATGGATTTCCGGGGCACTCTTGCCCATTGAAAAAAGTTATCGATGATGATGAATTCGGAGGTACAACATGCGAGAACTCGATGAGGGGCCTCCGAATTTTCCTTAGGACAGCCGGATACGTTTTCATTCACCTCAGACCCCTCTCTCTCAGATTTAATTGCGACGCGGGAGAGAAGAACCACGCAGTCGTAATCGTGGGCTACGATTTGACCAGCGAACCGCCCTTCTACATCGTCAAAAACAGTTGGGGAATGAGTTTCGGGGATAAAGGATACCTGTATATCGCAATCGGTGCGAACCTGTGTGGTATAGCAGATAAAGTCTCCAGGGTAAGTATCGATTAGCTTTGGGGGAGCCGCTTCAATAAACTGAACCTTCGTGAAGGAGAACAAGAATGCGGAGTCTCATTAACGGAATTCCTGAGTGTTATTGAGCAAATGGGACGAATGAGCCTATTTTGCGCTACAATCTGAGAAGCTGGCGCGGTGCGCGGCGTAGTGTCGGAGCTTCATATCTTGATTACCCATGGAGCGCTTTACTGGAACCCATCGCTCAGTGGACGCTTCCTCTCCGATGGAAGAAATTTTTTATATACGCTAGCAAACAATCGTCCTTGTCTCACTGTGTTTAATAGACAAGCGAGTCCGCCTCATATACCGCTCCTCTTCCCCCCGAAAGAACTGTCCCTCCTGGGGCAGTATTCGACGATGTTCCACAGAGCCGCGACTTTCCGACTAATCGTCATGGGTGACTCTCTTCGGATTCCGCGGACGGACGTGACGCGTGTCACGGGGAATGAACCGGTAAATTCGAAGAACTGCTTGCTGTTCCCCTTCCGGACGAGAACTTCATCTCCGACTGAAGCCCTCGGCAGGTTGCAAGAATGGTTCTTATCGAGATTATTTTTCTTCTGCGTCTCTCTCTGCCGGTCCTCCTCATGAGAACTGTACCTTCTCTCCGTCTGCGTCAACTGGCTGAGGATACCCAAACGTTCATCCGCAGGCAGATACGAGGGTTCTCCACTGCGGGCAAAAGCGGGCGAGCAGCCGATAGTCCTGCGAAAGTACCTAGTATGATGTCTTACGGCTGCCTCGAGGCAACCTTTGCATCCTCTCGGGAACGTGGGGTTCATCGAGATGAACATTTTCAGATCTCGGATCAATCTCTGCCAGTCCATTGGACTTGGGGTTATAGGGACTTCCAACCTCGATCTCGATAATCCTTCGCTTCGCCCACTCCCTAAGTTTCGAGCTCTCGAACACCTTGGCATGATCCGAAACAGTTTTCCGCGTATGGAGGAAAACATGATTTCCGAGCAAAGCGATCACTGCACCCGCGTTCAGATTACCGGCGTGAGCCACTGCGAATCGGGTGTTTAGATCGATTGCAACCAGAAATGCACGAGTCTGTGTTCCCGGACCACTCCTCTTTGAAAGCTCAGCGAAATCTAGATGATCGGTGTGCATAAGAGGAATCAACTTCGACCACAGGCACAATTTGTCGGCACGGGGCCGGAACTTGGTTGTGTTCGTCTGACATACCTTGCAGGAACGTACGGACCCATCTACATCTTTCCTCAGACCCGGCCATTGAAACCTTCTCAAGACCTTCAAATGTGTTCGCCACGTACCGTCATGACCTCCAGAGTCCGGACTGTCATGATATTCTTGCAGGACTTCTTTTCTACGGTCTGATTGAACCACGTTTCGTCCTCGTCGGGCATCGCCATATATGAACATGACCTGCTCGGCTTCTTTGGGAAGCCTCGACAAAGCGTCGGCATGGCCTATCGTTCGTCTATTGACAACCTGAAAGTCCATACTAGCATTCCAACTCCATCCATAGTATGACAGCTGGCTGAGATGACAGGTCTTGGATTCTCAAGGGCTTCGTAATTGGTAAAGCAGTCCCTTCCATTACACATATGGCGACAGGCTCCAGTATCGGCGAGCAAATCATCGCTATCATCCCTCGAGGGGGAAGTCTTCACATTGAATGGAAATTCTTGATCATCGCGACCACTCCCCGAAGCACACATACTTCGACTAGCAGTATTCTGCCCGGACTGGCCGTCACGCTTGAATTTGAAGCATTGGCTTTCCTTATGACCGATCTTTTCGCAGAAATAACATTTCCCTTTAAACTTCCTTTGATCGGACGTCCCTTCCTTGAATTTAATCTTCGAGACGAAGGCAACGGTTTCGTTCCCAGTGGATTTTTGGTCGCCTTGCTCTAATTTCTCCGCCTTCATGAGGCGTGGGATCATATTCTCGACGGTTTGCTTCTCTTCATCTAACATATCCCATGCGGATACTAGATGACGGTACTTTCTCGGCAAGTCGAGCAACTTCGAAATGGTCTGAGGAGGGTCAGTTTTCTGACCGACATCCCTCAATTGCTGCATCATAGATTCAACATCGGTGATATGCGTATTCATGTCCATATCGTCGGTCATTTTATAAGAGTGGAACTCCTTTAGCAGAAGGCTCACGCAAATCCTGCATCGCGATTCGAATATCGTCGAAAATCGTCTTCATATCTGACCCGCAGTCGGGACTGCCATTGCCGTACGGACCACTTTTGTCTCCAAACAGTTTGGGAGGACCGCTTTAGCCTTCGCATCAATCTTTGTCTACTCTCTACTAATTTCACCTTCCACTCCGAGGCGCTGGGGTACGGTGCTATCGATAGTCCCAGACCAGCCATTAGCGATTAGATACGCTTCCAAACTTCGAAGTCGCGATGGCCGTCGAATTTAGTGACTTGCAATTTGTCCATTGCCTCACAAGATTCCGACTTCAACCACCAATTACGTAGACCTGCTCCCTCGATCTTTTCTGTTTCGGATCCTTTATCAAGCGACTATTTCCGTCGGGAAGCCTGGGCCCATAGCCTATTGGCAAAGTAGCTGACAAGAAGTCTCGCAACAATGAGATCCAGAGAGATCGGGAGGCAAATCCTCAGTCAGAACAACGAGTTTATATCTGACTCTGAAGTCAACGAGGAAAGCAGCCTATTTATTGATAATGAGGAGCATGCGCAATCAAGACCTGACTACTATCTCCAACACTTCTGTATCCATCTGGCTGTTCTTCCTCCAGGCTCCTTTGTGGTGAGTAGTTCCTTCAGAGCGCTGTGGTCCGTATGGAGGGAAAACTTCTGATCACCTTAGGTAGGTTCGGAAATAGTGAACCCCCTTCAATACACCCAACATCTCTTTCTCAGATGTCGTGTAGTTCCTTCCGGCGCTGTTGAACGTATAGGAATGATATTTGATGGCATGAACCTCCCCGTCGAAATCCTAAGAGAGTCGAATTTAGTCGAACTCCTAAATCCTTGAGTTGAGACGGCTCCTGTTCCGAGATCTGAGGCGTCGGTAGTTAGCGTGAAGGGAAGCTCGAAGTTCGGGAAAGTCAAGATCGGGTTCCTCGTGATCCTCGACTTCAGCTCATCGAATGCCTCTTGACTCTTGATGCTCTGAAGTCTGTTCAAACTTGGCATCTTTGAGCGTCAGCTACGTCAGAGGCCGAATAGCTTTGTATGAAGACTCGGAAGTGTCCACATAGGCCGAGAAATTCTCGAACCTGTTCCACATTGGTCGGTTCTTTGATTTCCCGTAATTTCTCTACAGATTCCTCTTTCATGGACTTGGTGCTCCCGTGAATAGTCCTATCGAGGCACACCACTCGTTCCTTGAACAAAGTAGATTTCTCAAGATTCACTCTTAGTTCAGCCTTGTTACGAATACCAAACAATATACATATGTATCACCCACCGGATTGCGTCAATTCCATTGACCTCATCCCTTTCTTTGTCGTGAGCCTCCACACCGTTCGTGATCAATCTTCGCTCATCGCTGAACCAATCAGCTCGTCATTCGTCACTTCTTTCCTCTTACCGTATGGTTGCTGAAGCAGAATCCTGGGACGTATCGGTACGTCATAACTAGGGTCCTAATTCTATGCAAATGCATATATTTCGCACATTTGCGTATTGTAGCGTGACAACGAAGGTTGGCTATAAGTATCGATGATTTATTGAGAACTAGCCCCAGCTTTTATGGAAACAGATGGCGCTGCGGGCGCCGCTTCATTCGGCCATGCTACAGATTACGAACGTCCTCGTTCGAAGGGTTGATGCGGACATTTTCGCTGTGGGGAGCAAAAGGCCACAGATTGCGGAGAACGTTTGAGTCGCCTGAAACGTTCAGCGCGTGCTTAATGGAATACTACACAAAAGCTTGGATGACACGTACCATCCGCGAAGATGATAGGTAGAACAGTGTATGAGTGAGTCGTGGAGCTAACTGATTGGCATAGGCGTTCCACTTCTCGACCGCCGACGGGAGCCGTGGAACGTCCAGGAAGGATTTCCTTGGTGAAGCCCGATTGGTCCGCGTTCGCTATGCGTTTCGCCTCGATTTTTGAGTTAAAATGAGATTTCGGATTCATGCGACGAAATCGTTAGCTTTCAGCATCGTTGACTCGCTACTTCGCCGTGAGCGACTTTCGTGATCTTTCTTGAGACGGTGCGATTGGCTCTCCGGAAGCGCTTCACCCATCGCAGACAAGCGTGGAATCTTTCGAGGTTGAGCTTCTGCGCGAGCTCTCTGGTCATATTATGGATATCACAATCGTGCAAGGTGATTCCCGATTCCAAGCGCTCGTAATTTCGATCCCGCAGACGTACTTGGAAAATTTTCTTGAAGGCTTGAAGGCTCCCGATCTACGCGTGAATTTTGCCATTTTGTACGGGGATAACTTTATTTAGATCCATGGAGTTCCGGATCGGATGAATCGGAACCTGTTTTGCATACAAGTCTGTGCCCTTGACGCTCGACCTATAGAAAGACACAGCCTTCCTCGCCTGTTCTAAGTTCAGATGTCTCCCTCTGCTCAAGGTGATGTCGCCGGGGGTAGATTTCCCTCATTCTGTAGATGAGGAAACCTCGCTTTCGGGGTTGATATCCTCATCGACAACGGCGCAGTCTTGCTCTTGAGCCGAAATCATTCTCTGAGTGTTCGTTCAGCAAGCAAATTATCCGCGTACTCAACTTGACATCTTTTCGAGAGCGCTCCCCCGCTGACGGAGTCTCGAAGAATTTCTCACGCGAAACGTATTTTTCGCAGAAGTGCGACACAAGAGAATTCACCTCATTTCGAACGGAATCCATGACGCTCTCTGACCATGAAGCGAATTGCGTCAGGTCACTGATTCGTTGCGGTTTTTCGGAGTTATCTCAATTACATCCCGATTCCCCCCGCGGATTTCGGGAATAATTTCGAAACGACGAATACCTAGCCCTACAACAAGGAGCTTTCTACCCCGGCTAGTTGAAAGTCTA